ATTACAAGCGGATTATTGGATTTGAGGTTAAGTGCTTTTCCAGTGCCGCCAACTGAGTTTATAATTTTTTGTCGAAACTCTCTTTTAAATGTTTTGACTTGGCGGTCGACAAAAACGCACCCGGGAGGCGGAGCTATCTATGGACGCCATTGCTAGACCCAGCAGCTGTTCTTGCGCTCGCAGATGGCCTGTTTCTCATTCTTGGAGAGAAGTAAGCAATCTCATATTATTCAGCTACCAAGGCAGCCCCAAGAAAAATAGAGAGGACTAGACTGGCAGCGTACGCCACGGAGAAATCGAGGAATTGATACAATTGATCACATCAAAAGCGCGCGTACCCGTACCCTGAAAAATGGGAGGGGAAACGGTCTGCAGAGGGGTGGCTTTTGTGACGAGCCATTTAATGGACGGCATGGCCACTGCTCGGGCTTCTGTGGCATTGTGTCACGGGATTAATGCTCGTCGGTACTTGGTCGTATAGCTGTACGAGCCTTTTGTTGCCTATACTATATGCTGCGCCACCAACTCCACGAAAAGAGCAACCACGTTTACCACATAAGTGTTCGCCGCAGAATTAGTAGGGTGCATTCGGCTGAAAAACTAATTTGATTTATGTTTTCGTATTTCAATCTCCATGTTTTCCCAGTTGACACCCATAACAAGGCCGCAAGCTGTTTTCAAAACGCCCCGAAAAAAACCTGGAGTTAAGAGCTTCGAAAATAATTTTACCGCGATTTTCAAAAAGCTTTAACGATTCTTAGAAGTCTATTCCCACCGGATCGCTGAGGCCCAGGATGAATGCACAGTCAATGTGTATTTTTTTTAATCTATGCAATGCTATATCGGAAAAAACAATTCGGATTTGGGGCATCTTAAAAACCTACTTGCTTGATCCGAACTTTCTATCACTTAAAGTTACCAAGATATCAGCTTTTCTACAAAAAATGGTAATGGTATCACCATAAGATGCGCTGCCATCTCAGGATTATACATACTAAATTTCAAATTTCTATCTTTAATAGTTCTTGAGATTTCAGCTATTTTAGTTTTTGTTGGCGTTAGAGTGGTCGTGGCAGGATGCTGAATAAACCTGCGCTGCGTATGGACCTCCAGAATCTTAATGCTCAATCTCAACTTTGTATCTCTTAGAGTTCGTGAGATCTCAGCGTTCATACGGACAGACGGACATGGCTCAATCTTTTACTCTACGAATAACCGGTATAATAAATCTGATTTATAAATATTAAGGCTTTTTACGGGATTTGTGTTTTGTGTTCGAAAATTATTTCCTATATTTTTAAGGAACTTATATTGTTAATAAAACTTAAATAAATAAATCAATTTTATCCTTGAAAAACTAGCAATGGCCTTTAACTGGTAAACAACTTTCATTTGTATTTCTAAAATTGTTACATATAATTTAAGAGTCTTAAATGTACTAGAAATAATAAAATGTGGGAGATATTTCAATAATTCTAATACCAAACAGTTTTCCGTTAAATTCGGATATAATTTTATTGTAGAATAGATCCTGCTATTATTAAACCATTAAGAAATTTGTATCGTAACATAAATGTATCGTAAAGAAAAATAAATGACGTTCGTTAGCGAAATAAGAATTAATAAATGCTTTTTCAATGCTGACTACAATATAATAATAACGACAATATTCTTGGACTTTATTTTAGATGGGTTAGGGATTTAGGGAAATTATGTAAATTATTTTACCTATTCCTAATTACTTACAAAATCCACTCAGTTCGCCATGATGCCATATACCATGTATGTAGTTTCGTCTAACAAATAAGATTAGACACATGACCTATTAGTTTCTTTAAGCATTTGTTTAAAAACGTTAAGATTTGACCTTTAAGTAAAAAAAAAAAAAAACTTACAGCCAAAGGATGTGGGGCGGCTCTAAGAATTATAGGAGGCCACCTTAACTTCTGACTAAAAGGATAAAACCCCAATATAAAAATTTAAAATTTGAATTGTTTATTATAGTGGTTGGTGTCATCGAAAAAATATTCTTTAAGTTTTTGTATAACTTCTAAAAGGTTTCGATAATCGAAAAATTTGAAATTCGCGAAATTTGAAGAGTCACCTTACTTTTTGAACACACCTCGTATATTTTGGTTTGACCTTGTATAACTTATTTCTGTTAATATCTATCGATTTACCAAAGATTTTTCAAATCAGAACATTATTTCGCTATTTATGAAGAAATTTAAGTTATAAGGCCTCATATGGGCAGTGACGTCACTATCAGTTACTCAACATGCTTTCTCTGACAATAGGAAGCGCATGCGGAATTTCAACAAGCAAAATTAACAATTTAAAAATGTGTAAAACATTAACGGGTATCTTATAGTAGCGGCACTCGACTATAGCATTTCCTCTTGTTTTTCGTTCTATTTATTCTTTTTATATTGTAAAACTCGTTCGATCAATATAAATTGTATTTATGTTTATCAGAATATTTATCCTGTTATCATACCTTACATACTGAAATCTCTGAAATATAATCTTTCTTTCGCTTTAAAATAGATCCCGGGGCTTATCTGTATCTGCAAATGTTGTAGTGCACAGCGTCCCCTACGTCAACTGAAGTTTAGTTAGGATGGAAGTTTCCCTAATCATTCGTTGTCTAGGGTCTCTGTTTATCTTATATCAACAGTCAACGCATATGTGGAGTGGTCAAACTCATGCATAAACACATGTAAAATTTCCTAATTAATTTAAACATATATATATGTATATCTGTTTATAAATGTATACCCATCTGTTAGAGATCCGCCACTAGGCATTCCATGAATGAAATCATAGAGTGGTGTTAATATCTCATTATTTTATAACTTCCTTTCCATCTATTTATGAGTCCCGCATTGCCTTAGGTAGGTGCCAGCTCAAAACTAGTCGGTCTGTGAGACGATTGCGTGGAAATACCGGCGCTCATTACTTAAAGAATATACTGGGGAATTTCCCAGGTGGCTGCAAGCCCAAGTCCCAGCCTACGCAAATAAGCTCGTGGATTTTACAGCCTCACAACCCCTCAAAGCAACCCAGCCAACTACCTACTTGACAACGATGAGCCATTTATCCGTCCAGCCATCGATCCACCCAGATTGCAGGCAGCACTGCTCATGGCAATCCCAGTTTATGAATGAATCCATTAAATGACCTGAGCCGTGAATGAAGAGTTCTTCGCGGCCTGCATTTATGGCTGTACCAGCACCGTACTCTAAAATCTACCTAACCCACTAAAACCGTTTGCATTCATTAGCATTGAAGAGCGATAAAGTTGGACATAATCCAAGTGATTTCCCTTTTGTTTCAAATGACACGACAGAAGGCTTAAGGCGCTAGGACTGAAGTGCAGCTCTAAGGAAAGGAACTATCTTATAGGAAGTTGATAACGTATTGGTGAAAGAGCGCAGCAAGTAATGATAAATTGGTCAAGCAACATTCTCCTTGAGCTATGCACATTTTTAATTAATTGGATCGTAAGTTAATATACTAGATATATTAGATATCAATACAATACTAGATGTAAATTTACGGATCGGTTACCACAAATCATAGTTTAGAATATACATATATACATATATATATAAGACTCGTTTTTTTCTTTTATAAAACATCTGAAAGTTTAAAAACTCTATACAAGAATTGCAATAACTGAAAAATGAATTTGAAAATACGTTCAAACATATGTGAATCAAAGGATAACGCGATGTCCCATACTGATCAATTTAAAGATAATATATACAATTTTTTGTTAATATTTCATTGCTTATATACATACATATATACCTGAAGTCGCTATATACCTCGTAAACCAATTTAATTTTATTTTTAGGTGGTAAGTAAGAAATGTTGATGGTAAAATGTATAATAATGAATGGATAAATAGTTACCCTTCTGGTTAATTAATCGTATACAAAGAAAAATATTTGGTGACCAAACACTAAAACCTTTAGATAATTTTACTTACTTTAAAAATTATGCAAAAAGAAAACCGTACTTGAAATTATAAAAGCTGACAAAAAATATTTATAAATGTATGTACCTCCCTCATCCAATGTATTCTGTATCTACTTCTCTAATCCGCAGCCCTAACGCGAATAGGGCAAACGCCCACTGAAGGCAAAGATTTCGTTGCCCATCTCCCAAAGATGAAGCAAAGGCCAACTTTTATCCAAGGCGCTCTAGTGTCAGGCCTCCTGGCAATTGCGTTAGTACTGCTTGGATCCTTGGGCACGACTTTACATATCCCGGCTTGCTCTAACCCACCCTCGACGAAACGCTTAATTCAATAATAAATTGCCATAGAGTGCCGATGATAACTAAACCGCAGATAACCGAGTTGAACATTCGGCATCTGTATCTGTTTGGGTCCGGAGGGCAACACGATAAAACAGGGAATGGGTAAAGAGGGCAAAGCAAAATCCTAAACCATCGAACCGAAAGGCACTTGGGTCTTATAGGTGGGTAAGCGTAAAATTCATAATAATGAATGCTTTACTTCAAGTTCCGCCCAAAACTAAATTCACCCTGCTGGGATCGACCAGGGCAAATGCATATAAAATGGATATACACACAAGTGGTGGTTGGAGTGCCGAAAGCGCAAGTTATGAAAGCTGCCCGGCGCTTAACTTAAGCGTAGTATTCGATTTTGCCGACAGGGAAACTACACAGGACTATACATACACCGGACTCTTATGTACTTCTGCTGCGAGTGTGTGCGTGAGTGGGCCGCCATTGTTGCGCTGACGAAACGAAACTGATTCCAAAACCAAAACCCACCCTAGAACATCCCTCTCGCTCGCACATATTCAGACAAACAACAAATCGATGAATGAAGCGACCCTCAGTGTACTTGTGCGTGTGAGCGCAGGACGAGCGGGTGCGTATGTGTAGGTAGCGAAGGTAAGAAGAGTCCTCAGCTTAAATTAAGAGTCGACGGGGTAGAAGAGCTCAGTTCGATTTGAGATTTCGCACGCAGCGCACACATAGCAGTCGCCAGTCAAGTTACAAGCCCATTCCAAATCACAAGTGTTCCAATCATTGTCGCGAACAAGACTTTAGTCCTTTTAAAGAAACAAGGAAGATAGAAAATGTCGACTATTAACCTCCACCCACCACAAACATACTCGCGCCTGTTTCGTCCCTGGGATACGCAACGTCAGGTAGCGTCCTTAGCTCCCCGGTCGGTAAAGCAGGAGCCAGAGACCATCACCGTCAAAACGGAGCTGCCAAGTAACAGCTTTGGTCGGGACTGCGACAGGGACTTTTCATCCGCGTCCTCATCGTCCTCCTCGTCGAGCAACAGCAGCAAATCCTGCTATGAGGACGCAATAAATCACAGCAGCTACACTCGGACCTCCACCCCACTGTTGGATATCACTCCCCACCCCGTCTTCCCAAGCCCCCACCCTTCGGCTTCGGAAGCACCCACAGTCAGCTCCGTATCCTTGCCTCCACCGCAGCAGCATACTCCGTTCCTGCCGGCCCCAAGCGATCTGTACTACGCCGCCGCTGCAGTAGCTGCGTCCGCTGCCACCACTCCCACTGCTGTCACCGGCTTCGGCATGGATTCCTTTACGTTTGGCTTGATGGAGCAGGAGTATGCCCGCGTAATAGCGGAGGACGCACAACTGAAGACGCTGAACGCCCGCAAGCAACGCCCAAAGAAGTTCAAATGCCCACACTGTGACGTAGCCTTCTCCAATAACGGCCAGTTAAAAGGCCATATCCGCATTCACACCGGTAAGTCGATCATATGGGTTCCTTCAATGACAGCTAAACTCACAATTCGCCATTATTTCTTTCCAGGCGAACGCCCCTTCAAGTGCGACGTCGATACCTGCGGCAAGACATTCACGCGCAACGAGGAGTTAACGCGCCACAAGCGTATTCATACTGGACTGCGACCGTATCCGTGTAATGCCTGCGGGAAAAAGTTCGGGCGCCGGGATCACCTAAAGAAGCACATGAAGACGCACATGCCGCAAGAGCGTCAATTTGGCCCTGCCATTTTTGTGCCCATGTATCCTTACTTGTATGGTTATTAAAAGTTTCCCGAATTCCTAGCCTCCTCGCCACTCATTCGATCTATGAAGCGCTTGCACGCTTTAAACAAGCATATACGAAACCAACGAAATTAATGCCGGCCTATCTTGGACAGAACTACCTCAGCCGTACCTGGCGAAAAAGGCGCACTAAGCGAACTCATTTAAAGCTTACTGCCTTTGAGACCTCCGACGATATATGCAAATATTGAGATATTTATTTATTAGCGCATACTTACACTTCAAGATACGTCACAGAAATCACCAACATGTGTAAATACCTCCTTAAGTGATCCTTCATAATATGCTAAGCGATTAAGATATTTAAGAGATACCCGATTTGTATGTTCGCGTGCACACTATCTATACTAAAATTAAACTGATATTTTAACAGTTTTATAAGCTGAACGTGTTTATTAAATATATACAATTTATTACTATTGACTAGAGAATCCAAGTTAAATATTGAAAGTTGACTTGTATGAATTATGTATACACCAGAAAATACAAAAACTAAAAATATTAAATCTTGTTGTCACTTAAAAACTATGAATGTAAATTATATCTAAGAGGGGTCATCCCTTTGCAATTCTACAACCCAGTTAATGCATTAGTTGCATTATTAAGGACCAAATGATTAGAGACCATTCTGGCTACATATGTGGCAGTGCTACTTTCTACTGACCGCATAATTTGGCAAATCGCTCGTCACGCTGACAATATCAAAAGGAAAATTGGAAAATTACCGCTACCATCAAAGGCTTAAAATGTACAAGTCACTTGGACCGAATCCATCCAACTTCTATTCATAAATGGGCATATGTACATAAAATACAAAAACAATTTAGGCAGGAGAAAACGTCAATAGGCAGAGTTTTCCTTCTAACTGTGTATAAAAACATAGTGCATTTTTCTTGATTGGCTATATTTCCCACAGTCCCCTTCTGCACAGATCGCACGACCATGTCGACTCGGCATTAGTCACCTGACAACTTGCGTCACTCTGAAGGACAATAGAGTGGTCCACCTGAGTAAAGTGACCGAAACACAAAGTCGACATTCAAAAAATTACCTATGGGTATTTTTAGAATTCGTTAGGCGAAGAAGTCATCGTCTTGTACGAGCGGACAATAGATGCAATGTATGGAGAAGGTGGGCAACTGGCCGGTACCCTATTTGGTTCGATTGATAGAGGCGTGCAGATCTTACATTATCTGTTTCTTACCTGCTCGTTGTTCCTTTAGGGCTGAGAATATTTTTACTATACACCAGACATTGCGTCGTCGACCGCATCACATTTGTGACACAATGATCTATGTCTGTAACGTATCCCTTCCATTAAAACCTAAAAACTTTTATTTGATCTCGGCAAAGGGCTCTTTATTTCGAGTATCAAGATCTGCTGACATCAACAACTTTAAATACTCATTTCTATAATTGTTATATAGATATTAACAGAAATAAGTTACACAAGGTCAAACGAAGGCATTCATAATAATATTATAGACTCCACAGTTTTCCGCGGTTTGTGGGCGTTAGAGTGGGCGTGGCCGGATGCAACTTCGTGGCAAGTTGCAGAGGCATCTCCTAAATACGTGTTCCTAAGCAAAATTGTGTAGCTTTTAAAGTTTTCGAGTTTTTTGCATTTTTGGTTTTTCGGGTTTTGTGGGCGTTAGAGTGGGAAACAATTCGCATTGGGAGCATAATAGAAACCTACATGCTTAATCCGAACTTTCTATCTCTTATAGTTACCGAGATATCAGCTTTTCTAGAAAATCCGAAAACCGTCTTTTGAGCCTTGTGGGCGTATGGGTGGGCGTGGCCGGATAGTAGTACCACTATAAGATGCGCTGCCATTTAAAGATTATACTTTTTGAATTTCAACTTTCTAACTGCAATAGTTCCTGAGATTTCAGCAATTTTAGTTTTTGGCGATTTGTGGGCGTTAGAGTGGGCGTGGCAGGATGCTGTAATAAACTTGCGCTGTCCCGGGACCTCAAGAATCTTCATGCTTAATCTCAACTTTGTATCTGCTATAGTTCCTGAGATCTCAGCGTTCATACGGACGGACGAACGGACGGACGGACGGACGGACGGACGGACGGACGGACGGACAGACGGACATGGCTCAATCGACTTCGCTATTGATCCTGATCAAGAATATATATACTTTATAGGGTCCCAAAAGCTTCCTTCTATCTGTTACATACTTTTCAACGAATCTAGTATACCCTTTTACTCTACGAGTAACGGGTATAAATAGTTCGTATACGATAGGTATAGAAAACCAATTGTAATATGTCAAGCTAAATAATAAATGTTGCAGGTCTGCACGCAACTTTTTCCGCAGTTTGAGGACGTAGCCGGATGATAAAACCACCTATAGCAGACGGATCGTATTTGTGGGATTGTATCCTCTCATACTTCCCCTGATTTTAGCGCTTTTAGTTTTGCCGTGATTATGGCGTTTAGTAGCTGGGGCACATAGTGAAACAACATATAAGACACTATTCACTTCCCGAGTTCTCAGCTGCAATAGAGACCGCCGTTTTTCGCGATTGGTGCGAGGCAGAGTAGGCGTGGTTCTATGACAGAGCAGCTATGGCTATGCATTTTACATAAGTGCTGAAATCTTAGTCTTTATGCAGACAGACGGGCACAGCTAAATCGATTCGATTATTGATCTCGATCAAAATTGTATATTCTAATAGGGTCGGAAAAGCTTGCTTCTACATATCACATCTTTTTCATATATACTCTAAGAGTAACAGGCATAACATACATAAATATTTCGTCTTTCGTTTTATAACAAGCTAGATAGAAATGTTAGTTTCAATAATAATTCCTAATAGTTTTCACCAGAACTAAGCTCAAAAAAGTTTCGATAAGGTTCCAGAAACAATAATTTAAAATAACTAAAAATTAAAATTGCTATTTTCTTACAAAAAAAAAGAAGTTTGGCTAACAATAACCTTTTGACATCCTGGAACAATTGGTGTGTTAGACATTGCCATGTCATGACCACAAAAATGCCAAACAAGATTCGTTAGGTGGTCCAGAGAAAGTTCGCAACGAGTTAATGGCCTGGACTACCAGTACCACTTTTGTAGCACCATTTCTTCCTCTCCTGCCCACCCACAGCGCCCAGACTAAGAAATTGAAATGTCTTTTGTGCACTAATAGAGAAATATACGGGTCATAAGTTCGCAATACTACAATAGCCGAACCCGGAGCAATTGAGTCAGGAGCAGAGCGAAAACCCAATAACCGAAAGGAGCAAAGATTGTACAGGAATAAAAAATGGAGTCGTAGCCCAATGGATCAAGCTACCTTTCACAGCGCCAGTTCTTAGCCGGTGCGATGATGACCGCATCATCCCCTTGCTTAGCAACCCTCATCCCTTATCAACACGGATAGGGATGAATGACAGAAAGTGAGACAAGGGCCACCCGGTGGATGGCAGGGGTAGAAGACTTCTGTACCAAGTGTCGGAGGATCCATTTAATTGGGAAATTTATTGACCTAAGGAGCAACAATCTCGCAAGAATAGGAGACAGTTCGTCTGGCCCAGTCGTTGGTTATCTTTTGTCCTGTTTGTTTTGCGGTTCTGAATAGGCTTTCTCGATGAATAGAGGAGACATGACAGGACGGACTTGCTCTAAAAAAATCTAACAAGCGGCCTGAATTAGAGTAATATTCCTTAGTTCCGAGTAGAAGCTCGGCCTCAACCTCAACGTGGGTGGTGATCAAAGTTATATTTTTTAGTTAGTTTCTGCTTTTAATTACAAAACTTAGGGCATCACGAAACTGTAAGTAGTTTTCATTATCGACGCTCTTACTTTGTCCATTGCTATTTGCAATCGTATTTTACAGAAGTCTATTCCTAGATCCTTGGCAAAAAGTGGGTATGTCCCGACACTCGCTAAACGATGCGTTTATCTGCATAAACACCCTTAATAAGTCGATAGCACCAGTCCGTAATCTTGCCTGAGCTCAAAACTATATGATATCGCCTTCCCGTGTTATATACGCAATTTGTTTTCTAATCCTAACGCCTCAAAGGAAACGTTTCTTGCCTTGGCAAAATCCCCACACATGGTCTTAAGCTGTTTGTCGAGATAAGCCGCAGACCACAAATATGAATATGCATTGAAAGTTTTACCGATACTTACATTCTCTAGGCTCCTTCTGACTATCGCTTGACTATCAAAAAACTCACCCAGTCCATCAATGCGCAATGTCAATTAAATCAAACCAGAAACCAACCAAGACAACACTCGAAAGACGCGCAGCAGGGTATTGAGCCCACAACGCAAACAGTAGGTGGTGCCGGAAGTGCAGAGGATTTTTCCCATCGCCATGAGTCCTGAAATCTAATCAAATCTAATGATGGCATAATTGACTCTATCTGCACACATTATCGACACCCAATATTTGTAGTTCTCTGTGGGTCTTGTTACTCAGTAGGAAGTGCCTCTAAGACCTAGCCACACAAATCGTCCAAAGTCCAAGAAAACAGGAAATAGGTAATGGATTTCTTTGCAAAATTGAATGCAATGACACTTAGATTTTGCGATCGCCGTGTGGTCCATGCTGCTTCCGCTCCTATAGACGTTATTTAGCTGTAAAGCTAGAAATGTTATGACATATAAGAAAAAGTATAGAAAAGGTGTGCTAGGGCAATTCATCAAGGCATTGACACATTGACTGGTTCTTCTAGCTTGGATCTTACCAAGCGAATGCGTAGCGTGTGCTCCTAAAAATTTCGAATTTACCTAGGAAGTGACCCTGATCTGATATATCAATTAGTAAACAATGCTTTTGTGTTTTGTTTCTTTTAACAATGACTGTTTTTATATTTGTAAATATGCACATAAAAATACTTGGATGCCGGTAGCAGTAAATGCATGCTATGGAGGAATAAAGGTAATACGAGTACAGGCAGTTTGCTGAGTTATTTCTTAGGTGGTGGAAGGTACCCATTAATTTAGTACATAAGAAAAGGCAACGGCATTCATAAGTAAGGCACACACATGTGGGCCACTGAGATTTCTTGGTATCCCTGCTCGGCCGCTTCCGAGCAGATTAAATGAGGTTAATTTTGTTATTGGTTTCCTCTTCCTTAGTACAGCATTGTGGCGGCCTTGTTTTTGTCATCACTTGGTGGCTCCATGCGTTTGCAGTCGCGGGCGTCTCGGCGCTCGGCGTACAGTAGAACAGCGATGTTTATCAACACCACGACAGTGGAAATCACGACCAGATAAAAGCTGTAGCCAAGGTAAGCTAGTCCTGTGCTGTACCAGTGCTGTTGTTGGTGCTCGGTCAAAAGTATATTGAGGGTGAAATACTTCCAGAACTGCACCAGCCAGGCGACAAATGCAACGACCTGAGCCCCCGCTGCAGATATATTAGCGGCCATCAGCAACACCATTGTCCCGCCCCTCTTGGCTGCAGAGGCTGACTTAAGGACTGCGGCAATGGCTGCAACTGCGGATGCCAAGAGGCCCAAGCCGGTGCCTAATGTAGTGAGCATCCAAAGCCACAAGCTGGTTTTGTCGTTCTCTGTGCGGACAAATGTGTAAACTGAAATAAAATTTTCATATGAAAAAATATATTTTTTTTAACTTTATATGTAATTTCTTAAAGTGAAGACCTTCCCTTTTGCTTCAAATTTAAGAGCAAGTTGTTTTCTATCAATGGACATCAATTAATAATTTTCAAAACTCCAAGTATCAGGCAACTACCTCATATATTCACCTCTCATACAAATTTAAGTTTATAGTTTTCCGTATTTTGTGGGCGGTCATATGAGATCATTGCATGCGTGTTCAGAATTTTCTATCACTTAAACATAGTTACCGAGATTCCAGCGTTCCTACAAAAACCTACAACAGAACATTAAAATGTTCTGGCATCTCAAGAGTATATGTACGAGTATATGCATGATTAATCCAAACTTCCTAGCTCATTTAAATCCTGAAATCTCCGAGATTTTTAGTAGGCTTAGCAGGACGCTCAAATAAACTTACCCTGCATCTCATGAATTTGCATGGCTAATCCCAACTTTGTATCTATTATAGTTTCTGAGATTTCAGCGTTTATACGGGCAGTCGAACATAGCTACATCGACTCGGATATTGATCCTTGTTAATATACTGCTGATGTCTTTTCAGCAGTTTCCTTCAAACAATTATTTACAAAGCTATACAAAGCCGTTTTGCTTATTCTTAAAAACTGGTCATCATCCCCACATCTATTTGATTTTTCTCTAGTTGGGTCAATCTTACCATCAACCGGATAAGTGCGTACGCCAAATCCAGGGTTCAGGTGCTGGCTGCCGTAGAAGAGTCCGAAGTTGACCTCTCCTTTGGCCTCCATTGAAGAATGGCGGCGTGGACTCGCCCGGACCCAATGGTTACTGGTTATGCTGACTAACAGAAGGCCAATGGCCAGGCAGCTGCCAAAAAAGGTGGAAAAGACCAACGCACGTGTGCGCATGCTCATCTTGATAGTGCTCGTGAGAAACCGGTGAGAGGGGCAGGTACGGCTAGTTTCACCATTTAGAAATCTGTAAGGCAGACTCCAGCTGCAACAAAGAAAGTCGGATCACTACGCGTAGTAGCTCAGTGACCAGTAGCCATATATAGTACGATACTTACCTTTGTCGGGTTTTAATTGACGGAATCAATCACAACTAGGGTCTTTGTTTTGCGAACAATTTATTATTATACAATTTAATAAACGGTTTTGTCTTTGTTATTTTTCTTGGGTCAAGAAACATGGACAGATTTTTCACCCTACTGAATACGGTAGCACCAATTAGTGCATTGGTCTGGCAACCATGGAAATTTTTACGTATTTCGATATCGATATAATTTTAATGTAAAAAATAGATACGGTGACAACCCGGGACACCGCAAAAATAGCGCGAAGTTTTTGTCTTTACTGAAAAAATCATTCTGTATTTTCGGTAAATATGAGCGGACGCAAGCACAGAGGCTTTGAGAATATGGAAAATCTGTGCCCTGTTACCAGGTATGTGTTTTCTCGCTAGTGTCCAATCAACTGACTAACAAACTGACGTGACGTCACAAGTTGGACAAACGGGGTCATAAAAGTAACTTATAAAATTTATGGGTTCTTGACCCCAGTCCTAGTGCTGATGAAGCACTATCGAGTTTTGCAGTTTTAATTAATTCTCAAATATTGCAGAAAACGATCTTCCAGTAAGTATCCCACATCGGTTGTGGGAGCTTTAGTTTCCGCTACAAAGTCGTCGCAGTACGAGCACCCTTCCTCGCCATCAATTCTTACTTTCGAGGCCCTGGAGGAGATGGGCATTGGGATGTTAGACTCTGAAGAGAGCAGCTCCTCAGCACTGTCAGCCATTGCTTTGGCGGTTAGTGCAAGTGCCACCAGCGACGACAACTCTAATGAAACGACACCGTATTCCAGTGCAGCGCGCATAGCGCACCAGCTTCAGAATTCGGAGCGACTAAGTTTTGGCGCCAAGGTTGATACCACTCAGCATAGCTCTTCTGTCGTGAATGCAACAGCTTTTACCCGCCAATGCGAGAAAATGGAGACGCAGGTCAAGCGCTCAGCACTGGGATCTGAAGACGGTAGCAACTCAAACACGCCTACTAAACGCTTGCGAAACCCACTGGCTTCTGTCACCTGCAACAACCAGTGTGATGTTGCGGCCCCACTTACCTTTCAGCCCTCAACCAGCAGACTTGCCCAAGTTCGTCAGACAAAGAAGCCCTTAACAGAACTTAACTCACCCCGTCCGGTGCCAACGAACAGCTTCTTTATTTATCGGACTCCGACCATGAGTGCACATATCAATAGCGGAATAAACTACTTCGACAGACTTTCAGACGAAATACTGTTGGATATTTTCAAATGGCTTCCGAAAAAGACGCTACTGCGCATGACAACTGTTTGTCGGCGCTTTAACCGATGTTCACGCGATGAGACATTGTGGACAAGACTTGATCTTGGCCTGCGAAACATTCTGCCAGGCGCTCTCGAGCACATTGTACGGCGTGGTGTTCTGGTAATACGTCTAGCCCAGGCAAGCGTAAGTATCATTTCTAACAGAATGGGGAAAGTGATTTCACAATTTTCTGTTAAGCAGATCCAGGAGCCAGCATTCGCATCATCATCGACAGGCTATACGGCTCGAATACAATATCTTGACCTGAGCATGGCCTCAATCAGCCGAAACTCCCTGCAGACTCTTTTATCACATTGCCAACATCTAAAAAAAATAAGCCTAGAGAATACTGAGCTCGATGATAGCATCTGTACTGAGATCGCCAGAAATAAAGGCTTGGAAGCAGTCAATCTGACCATGGCTAGTGGCCTTACAGCTGACAGTGTGCGACTAATGATGGAGTCTCTTACTCATCTGATAAGCTTAAACATATCGTGGACTGACCTTAGTACAGATGCCGTCACGGAGTTGGTTACTCATATCTCCCCTAATGTTATCCGGCTAAATATCGCTGGCTGTCGACGCGTTTTATTTGACTCTCGTAAGTAGTCACCCATCAGTTAACTCGAAACTCACTTAACACATATATTTTCATTAGATGTTGATTCGCTGCAAAAACGGTGCCCACAGCTTTTGGAGCTTGATCTATCAGATTGCAATAGCCTAACCCCTGCAGCTATAAGTACAATTATGAAGTTCAAGATGCTGGAATATTTGTCCGTTTCACGTTGTTATCTTATTCCTGCTACCAGATTTATGTAAGTTATTTTTGATTTACGTCTTAGCTATTTCTACCCGGACTTTTTATTTGCAGTGAGCTCAAGGGTATGCCTTGTCTGACATACTTGGACATATTTGGCATGCTTTCAGACGCTGCAATGGAAGTCCTTGAAAAGCAAATGCCTAAAATGGGAATAAACAAGTTCATACACAGTTCAGTTTCTCGACCAACTGTAGGCACTCGACGCACCTCTGTTTGGGGCCTTCGCACGCGTGATTAGATCCTAATTCTATACCTTTCAGTACCATCTTTTTGCTACTTATATCACTTCCAACGAAATTTTTTATTCTTAATTCAACAACATAAATAATCATATTCTGCTGTTATAAATATCTTGCTTTATACGTTTGGTCATTGATCCGCTTCGCTGATAGGGGCCACAGGTTTCTCCCACTCCCATTCATCCCAGCTAACACAGTTTTTAAGACTATCCATGAATCCCATCTCGTCGGGGCACTTTATTTCAATAGCTGGTTTGTTAAGAGTTTCACACTTCCAGTACGATGTAGAATCCCAATTGTTCCGGAAAACTGCTATGTCTAACTCATCTTGGGTCTTGCAGCCTGGTTGTCCATCACCATTATAGGCATTGACAAGACCAAACGAAATAATAAGGAGGACGCTAAGGGCGAGCAGAAGTTTCATCTTACCATAAACTGATGACCAACTGTCAGCATTCAAAGCCTTTTATAGGAACATTTTGTCGGTAGTATGCCATAAGTGTAGCTACTACCAGAAAATGCTTTTAAAAATTTGCATCAAAGTAAACTCTTGATAGTGTATAGATAGCAGTACTTGCTCTTCACTGTAACCTGCTTAAACGAAAACTAAAATGGTGTTAGGAAGTGATAAAGTTTTCAATTTAAAATATTAATGTCTGTGTTACAATACTAAACTTTCGAAATAGGTTTATAAATATGGAACAGAAATAAATTTGCGAAAACGTTGACCATTTACTTAAAAGTTTTACTCAAACCTTTCTTGTGAAATGTTAATATAATGGACGACGCAGTTTTCTGCCTTTTGTGGGCGTTAGAGTAGGCGTGACCAGATGTTTAAAAATACGATGTGGTAGCATTATTGGAAGCTAAAGGTTGTCTCACGAAAAATGTATTAGAAAATGACATAAAAAAATGAGGAAACGCTATAGTCGAGTGCCGCGACTATAAGATACCCGTTACTGTTTTACAAAATGTTAAAATATTATTTTGCTAGTGCAAATTCACAAGGCGCCACCTATTGTCAGAGGAAGTTTGTTGAGTATGCTAATAGTGACGTCACTGTCCATGTGAGGCCTTATAACCTTAATTTCTTCATAAATAGCGATCTAATGTTCCGATTTAGAAAATCTTTGGTAAATCGATAGATATTAACAGAAATAAGTTATACAAGGTCAAACGAAGGCATTCATAATAATATTATAGACGTCACAGTTAGCCGCGGTTGGTGGGCGTGGCTGCAACTTCGTGGCAAGTTGCAGAGGCATATCTTTAATACGTGTTCCTAAGCAAAATTATGTATAGTATAGTATATATAGTATAGTATGTATAGTTTTTGAGAATTTTGCATTTTTGGTTTTTCGGTGTTTGTGGGCGTGGCTTGATCGGAGCATCATAAAAACTTACATGCTTAATCCGAACTTTCTAACAATTATAGTTTCCGAGATATCAGCTTTTCTTTAAGCCTTGTGGGCGTATGGGTAGGTGTGGCCGGATAGTAAAACCACTTTAAGATGCGCTGGCATCTAAAGATTATACGTTCTGAATTTCAGCTATCTAGCTCCAATAGTTCCTGAGATTTCAGGAATTTTGGTTTTTTGCGATTTGTGGGCGTTAGAGTGCGCGTGGCAAGATGCTGTAATAAACTTGCGCTGTCCCGGGACCTCAAGAATCTCCATGGTTAATCTCAACCTTGTATCTATTATAATTCCTGAGCCATGGCTCAATCGTCTTCGCTATTGATCCTGATCAAGAATATATATACTTTATAGGGTCGCAAACGCTGCCTTCTATCTGTTACATACTTTTCAACGAATCTAGTATACCCTTTTACTCTACGAGTAACGGGTATAAAAAGAACGGCTTGCTAGTTTTCAATGAATAAGCATTTATTTGAAATGTTATTTCATGACATATATTTATAAAAAAAAATAATTTCCTTCAAATATCCACCAAGGCTGACTTGGCAGTACCCCATACGATCAACACAATTTTTCTGTACATTTTAAATGGTTTCTGGCATAATGGCAGCAACAGCCGCTTCAAACAAACGTCTTTAACCGCTCCGCAAAGATAATAGTCCAACAGTGACAGATCGCAGCTTCTTGGCAACCAATTCACATCACCATTTTTGCAGAATTTTCGATTTTCAAAGATTGTGTGCAAAAGATCGATTGCTGAATGGCACGTAGCGCCGTCCGTGTTGAAACCAAATATCCAAATCCAAGTCTTCCCCTTCAAGTTGATCAAAAAAAATAATCAGCCAACATGGCACGGTTGCATTTTCGAAGAAAATGAGCCAATGATGCCGCCGGACCAAAGTACGCACCAAACAGTCACTGGATATGGATTCATCGGGTTCTCCTTAATAACGTACGAGGAAATGAGCTTCGTCAGAAAGAATGATTTCTTAATTTCTCACAGTTTGAGTTGGAGACTCATTACTTTGAAAATAAGTTTTTAATATTTCCCAACTTTGTTCAAGCGAATAGCGACTCATTTCGTAAATTTCAGTCTTTATACTAAATATCTGCCACTTTCCCGATGACGTTTACCGTTTCCAATGTCAAATTATCGTAAGTTCAAGTTCGAAATGCTATGTGGGAAACCCTGTACATCAATCAATCAATATTAGTTCTTAAAGAATGCGGCTTCCGTTTTTCGCGGTTAATGGCCTTAAGAGCAGGCGTGTTGAGATGATGGTATCACCCTGAGATGCGCTTTAATCTCTAAAATAGTCTTAACCCTAACATTCTTGCTCTTATAGTTACTACCATCTTAGCGATGAGCTAAGAGCTGCTGTAGCATTTCAAGAATACGTATATCTGAACCTAACTTTCTAGCTTCATTAAAAACTACGTGCCTAGTCCCAACTTTATAGTCACCGATATCACAGTGTTCCTAGAAAATCAGGCTACCGTTTTTCGCAGTTGGTGGGCGTGGGCAGATAATGGTACCTCATTGAGATGCTCACAAAAATCATTCTCAGATTTGGTCTTACCAAAGTCAATCCAAGCTATTTTTACTGATCGAGTATCGGGTATAAAAACAAAACACCCAGATCCTTTTTAATACAATACAAGGGAACCGAACTCTTACTTAGGTTTCTGGGTAGGAGCTTGACACAATATTTCAGGTATCTTTGGTACAACTTTTTTATGTTAAGTCCGTTTGTTCGCCAACGAAAAATTTTTTTAACAAGTTCCCCAAAACAGTTTTCCAAAATAGTAGATTAAGAAAATCGAGTTAAAAATCTAAAAATTAACTTTTGAATATGATTTTCTAATTTGTTACTCGTAGAGTAAAAGGGCATATTGTACTCGTTGAAAAGTATGTAACAGGTAGACGAAAGCGTTTCCGCTTTTGCGGGAACACTGAGATCTTGGTAACTATAGGTGATATAAAGTATAACGCGCAAAAAATGCAAAGACCCAAAAACGGTAAAATCTCGGAACCTAAAATAGCCAGAATGTTAGGATTAGGCATATGTACATATGTACATTGAGCATATTTTTCATCAAGCCACGCCTAATCTAACGCCCAAAAGCCGCGGAAAAAACAATATTAAACATTTTACTTTCGTTTTCATTGTATAACATTTTTTTGTCAATATCTACCGATATATGTGAACAATATTTAGCGATTTATTAAGATGCCTAACATGGGCAATGGCGTCACCATCAGTTATTAAAAATGCATGACAAAAAGGTGTCGCTGCGTTAATTTCTGTTAGCAAAATGATTATATTAACATTAGATAAAATATAAAGGGTATCTAATAGTCGCGGCACACGTTTCTTCTTGTTTTTCTTTTATTTTGCAATTTGGATTAATTTATTTATTTTTGCATGCAAAGTAAAATGAAGTTTAACTATACAACAGTTTATTGACATACTGTATGTATGGAAACAATACTTTATGTACAATGTAAAATGAAAAAAATATGTTGAGCTTAGAATGCGCCTTATTAATAAGTGCAAAAACATAAACAAAATATTGACATGAGAGGTAATATTGATATTGATAATCTTGATACTGTCAAGAAACTGTTTAAACACTCCTGTTTTTGATGCTGTATTGCTCTTAAGAAAACAGCTCAATTCGGATTTTAATTTGGTTTGCATTAATGTACCAGCATGCCACCACCAACAACTAAAAGCCGTTCAAAATGGCATCGCTGATAAAATTTCTTAAGAACTCATTACAATTTGAAATTTTGTTAAAATATAAATAAGTCAAAATGATTTAGTATTTTTATTAAAAAAAATTCTTTAACTAATTGTATCTTATAAGTATTCCTATAAAATTTACCAGTAAAAAATGGTATTTATTTTTAGACTCGATAGGTTTTTTTTTATCGTTATCGGCTTGGTATTTCGCTATATTTTGCTATCCACACTATACGTAATTTTAGAATTTACGAGGAAAACTATTGTGCTATTACCTTTTTAACTTATCGCCAAATCGTGCGTTGAAGCCGTGAAAGCAATTCACGGATTTCAAATGGACGAAGAATCTGCTCCAAAGCAACCGAGTGATAGGCACCTGGACAACGCAGTGGATCTCGATATGCCCCCAAGTCCACCCGGCGTTGATGAGAAAAACGGTAACGAGAAAAATGAGGCCAGGACCAGTGCATCAGCAAAGCGTTGCAAGTCAGGTTCCGGCCGCCGGTCTTCTTCCCGTGGGCGTTCGGACTCTCGAAACGCTGCTTCTCCCTCGACAATGCGACGGCGGCGTTCCGTGTCCCGATCGCTGAGTCCCCCGCGACGTGGTCGTTTCGACTCGCCCGATTACGGCCGATATCCCCGACGTCGGTTTGACCGAGAACGCCGCCGTTCCCCGGACCGGTGGCGGTCTCCTCTTCGCCGAAGTCGCCGCTATGGACGTTCTCGGTCCCGTACCATCTCACCCCGTCGTGGAGGTCGTTGGTCTCCCAAAAAAAAGCCGACGTCGCCGCCTCTTCCCCCGGCGCAGGGACCGCCACCGCAAATGGCTCAGGGTTACGCGGTCATAGCGCCACAAATCTATGCTACGTACGGTGCCCCGCCAGATCTTTATGGCCATCGTTATGGAATGCCGCCTAACGCCTTCCCTCCCCAGGGACCAGCTTACGGAATGCCAGGACCTCCACCTGATCAGACATCCTTTGGTGGTGGTTATGGTCCTCCACCAACAGGCACTTGGGGCGTAAATGGTAATTACGAACTTTAAATCCCTAAACCAATTCAAACCAAGCCGATCTTTGTTGCAGAATATGGCCAACAGGTATGGATGACTCAGACCATGGACGAAGTTCAGTCGACTGTTACGGACGGCATGACGCTGGCCCATCAGGTCCCCGATGATCCGCCGGACAAGCAGCCAGGGGAAGAGCAGAAGAGGCCAGCGCACGATAGCGCAGGTTTGCCGCCGCAGGACGGTAAGTGTGAAAATGAATTACAATGTGGTCATTATGAACATTCACATGCAAACCTCTCACATTATGTTTTATTACTGTTGTCATGATTACTTGTACTTGTAACTTAAGTGCGCGCTAAAGACTCGCAAACCAGAAATTACCAAAAATATAGGGTAAAGATCAGATCTATCAGAATCTAGCCGTATACTCTCGCCAAGCCCGACTCTCGGAATGTCATTCCGTTTCAAATAAAAATCGCAGTTTTGCCGTTCTTGTGTGGCAGTAGTCGAAAGACGGACTTACGCCAACCTAGACGTCCGTCGTCGTCACCTCAACTGGCGCTTCATCTACAACGAGGACTGGCTTAACAAGCAATCACGACGCGGTCAGAACCGGCGAACCGTGTGTATCTAGCCGGTGAAATGCTCTTAAGAATGCATTTGTAAATGAAATTTTAAATTTAATTCCTCAAAAAAGAATGTTTTTTAATGTTGCTTCTTTGTTATCCTCATCTGTATAACCGTCAAACGGCAGCCGTGGCACAAGAGGCGGAAAAACAAAAGGACGAGCTGAAAAAACAGCGGGCCAACTACGTCAAGAAGGTAACTCTACTCCAGAAAGAAATGAAAGTTCTTAGGGACCAGCGTGACGACTTGGCGGCAGGCGAAGCTCCACCCTCTCCAACTACCAAAAACTTTATCGAGGAAAACGAACGTCTGCAGGTTAATTAAATCCCCACAGTGCGATATTTGGTTATTCTAACCTTGATATAAACATTTCTTTTGTATAGGTGCAAATCAAGAAGAAACTAGACACAATTGAAAACGTTATAGACATGCTGAACGGCATAATTGGTTATGAAGAACTTGATGATGAGCCTCGAAATCCGAAGATACATGGAAAAGCTCATCCTGATCAGCAGGGTAGCCGATCCCACTCCTCCAGCAATAGCTCCGATGACAGCTCAGATTCGAGTTCATCGTCGGGCAGTTCTTCCGATTCGTCAACCAATGGCGAGATCGAGAAGGATGCGGGAGGTGCTGGTAGTAGTCCCACTACTCGGCTCAAGCATCGCGTAATGAAGTCGATGAAGTCAAAACAGCGACATGATGAAACGAAGCCAATATCACCTCCTGCACAAAACTACAATTTTGTGTTCTTCGATCCTGAACAGCATTGGTGCGAGAGCTGTGGTGTTTTTCCAAATTCCGCGAGAGACTATTTAAAGCACTTGCATGCCGAAGAACATATGAATCGCGAGACTATAGAAACTCCATGGCACATAGGAATTGAACACGACCCTTTTCCAACATTTGAAAATGCGCCTGCCAAGCGCGTCCCTGTTCGCGGAATGCAATTCCTGGTGCCAGCAAACGCCTGGTTCTGCAAGCTCTGCAGTGTTTGGATTGGAGACTTGCACTGCGCATCCGCTCATCTTAAGTCCAGGTTACACTCTAACAAATATGAGGTGAGTGACAAAATGTGGAGGATTAGCAAATTCACAGCTCTTAAAAATAAAGTTAAAGGTCGTTCAAAAATCATTTCCACACGAAAACCGAAGCGTTGATAAGCAAATATGTAAGACTTTTATTTTGAAAAATTTTAATTGTTTGCTTATGCAAAATTTGGCTTCCATTATTGTTTTTCAATATCATATATTTTCTTCTTTGATAATAGAATTTCAGATTATTTATAAAATGAAATTTTGTTGTAGATATTTTTAAATGATAATCCTAACTATGAAATCGATTGGCAAGCAAGCCGTGAGCGGGCGATAATACAACAGAAAGGGAGCGATGACTTAAAGAATAAAAAGACCAAACAGGAGGAGGACAAAACGTCAAAAAAACGCAAAAAAAGAAGGTGAGGAATATAAGATAAATATTTATACAAGACAAAATATATGATTCGTTATCGTTCTCATATGCAGTGGTGACAGAAAAAAAAAAAGCGAAAGCATGGAAAGAAAAGCAAGCAAAGTACAATCGACGCGAACAGCACGTCGTCATCCACAGAAATATCTTCGTCGGAAGATGACGGTCCACATCTACCAAAGCAAGACCGTGCCGAGGAGTCATCAAGTGGTAAAGCTGATAAGTCCATTAATGCAGCATCAATACGTGTTACCATACGAAAGCAGGAAACTCCCGTAACATCTTTCAAGCCTTTGCAGTCTGCGGCCCCACCGCCGCCCCCAATCATAAAGAAGTATAAAAGGGCTTCAAGCCGGGGTAAATGGACTTCTACCAGTGGAGAAGAACAAAAGGAGGACCAAAAGAAACGGGACGATGTCATGTTAAAACCATTTAATACTGTCCAGCCTGTAATAAGTGAAAGTGAAAAAAAACTACTAGAACATCTTAAAGGCAGGTTGAGGAACAAGGGACCCCGTGATTTGGAGGACCATAAAGAATCACATACAGCATTTGGAGGTGAAGAAAAGTTAAGGAGAGGGGGGGGCCGTCGTTCTCGTTCCCGTTCTAAACGGGTTAGCCACTCTCGTAGTATAAGCCGTGGTCGGGATAGAGATTGGCGTGATCGTGACCGGGATAGAGACCGTGGTCGACGGCGTCGATCTCGTAGCCGTGGCCGGCACTTTTCTCGTTCGCCCCTAAAATCCAGCAGAAGAAGTCGATCTCGAGAGGGTCGAAGCCGTCGCAGCCGTAGCCGAACAGCTGATCGGATAGAGCGTCCCGTGATAAAGCATTCCGAATTCCGCCCCCGAACAGTACCCGAACGCAAGCAAACCGATACTAAGCGAGAGAAGAAAGATGCGGAGACCAAAGCAAAGCAGGTCAAACCCAGCAGTAAATGTCTGCCTGGAGGCAAGAAGCTGCCGTTTATCGGTAAGATGCCAGTATTTAAAAAGCAACCCGTTTCGACTTCCAATTACGATTGTGCCGCCATTTATACTAATGGCTGCTTAGATGCACCACCTCCACCACCTCCGCCGATGTGTGGAACAACGGGACTTGTAGCTTTGCGTCAACCCGCACCGACAGCGGCGCAGATTCAAATGGCCATGATGGAAGATGCTTTCGGAAATGCTCCTCCATTTCATCCAGATGCGGGTATGGTAGTGGATTACGACGAGTTAATGCCAGATCCTGTTCAGTTCGCCAATTTAATGACAAGCTGCCCACCACCTCCTCCGCCCGGAGAAGGCTCTGACGGGGAAACCCATGGTGCAGACGACAGAGGACTAAATGAGAAACAAAAAAGTTTTGGAAAGGAAGTCCTACCCCCAGGTATTGATGAAGCTGACTCTGATCTCACAACGCAGACATTAGAAGCTTCTACAAAACCAAGGGGCAGAGACCTGCCCAAAGACCTTGCTGAGGCACTTGACATTATATTTCCCGGCGAGGGAGCGACACTTGAAGAAACCAATCAAAGCAGTGAAAAACAAGGTGAACCTCAGACTATCATAACTATCGTTGACGACGAAGCAGTGCTCAGTGAGCATAATCTTCAAGACCTGGCAAAGCAGGGAATTCATCTCGTAACCATTGACAAGTCAGAAGTTCCAAATTCAACTACTCAAGCACCCAAGGAGGATGAGGAGTTGAAAATTCTGAATGGTAAATCTGAAGCTGCAGCAAACTTAAAACAGATTGATGCTGAGGACATCCCAATGCCAACTTCCCCTCCAGCAGCTCAAGTGTCAAACGATTTGGCAAAAAACAACACCACTAAGAAAAACACCGATATTTCGAACATACCACAGCCCCCGGCATCACCATCAGACAGTGAGAAGTTGCGGCGTCAAGCGGAGCTCGATGAGTTGGCTATGCTAGGAATCGACAGCAGCGACTTAGCGGCACAATGTATGTAGAATGAATCTTTTTGATAAAAATATTAAATGCAAATTTTTTTTTCAATATCGAACATTTCATCTTTTTAATTTAATATATATAACTAATAGATGCGTTGTAATAATTGAATTGACTTGGCTGCAGAAAAGTGAAAACGGAGACGCTGCCTACGTTAACGGAGCGGAGTGGCCAATAAGAAATGAAACTGTTTTAGAATATAGTTTGACACCGATGTAAGAGTGATTGTCACGAAATTTTTAATAAATGCCCATATATTTATGTAATATATGTATGAAGGATCCTAGAAATGTGGTTTGGGTAAAAATTGTTTAACATTTTAAGACATTAAATAAATAAAAATACATTGGTATAAAGTAATTTTATTTATACTAATATACTTTATTTTCTGTTTAATAAAATGGCACTTAAAAAATATGATCTACAAATGAGCCACCCCTTTTCATTTACATATATTTTTAGCCATATTTTGATTTCTGCTCATTCAAATATGTACGCGTTATTTCATAGATAGATGTCTTTCATACAATCCTAATATTTTCTTTAGATAACGCACTAAATCTACATTTAAAAAGAATTTAATGCCTGATATAGGAATATCATAATCGTCATAGATTTTAAGTAACAGGTCTTATTTTTAGCCAAAAACAAGTTTTTTTCCGAGCCGAATACACAATTTAAAAATTGGTAAAATTAAAATTTAGTTGAGGTGTGGTAAAAAGCATTATAACGATTACAATAAAGTTATTGAATTATTTATAATTGTAATATTAAAGGATGTTGATGTGACCTTTTTTGTCCATCCTCTTGTTACAAGTGAGTGACACGGGTTGTCTGTGTCTGGCCGATTCGTTTGGTGCCAGTAATAATTAGCTAAAACTATAAGTCTGTAATCACACTTTTAGCCAACCTTAATTTTGTTGCGTCGGATGCTGCGCCAGATTCGTTATTGTTCCCATTTTGCTGGCCGTTTACTTGGATACTTAGGTTTTTAACCAATTTTTCAAGCCTAAAATATTGTCATCCGTCGAAAGATAAGATCGGAAATTAAGTATTTTATAATTAGTCACATGGATATGTTTGTGCATATTAATAGTGTCTTTGAAAGCGTTCATGCATGTGCAATAAAATGGTAATAGGTTAGTTATAGAATACAAAATAGAGAACATAGACTACACCCACGCAATTAAACGTTGATTTGCCTCCATACGTGCGGCGGCCGTTTCACTGCTCTCTCGTTTTATGTGTGCATTTTCCCTTTTGGGCGGCTGTGGATATTCTGGAATATCCTGATCCGAAATCAGAGAAAAAGTGGGAGGACTACTGATAGATTGTTGCGGTGAAGTTGAGCTCCTGGAGTGGTGGATTGATTTTGAGAGCGTCAGTATACCATTACTGCGGAACTCATTGCTCGAGCACAATAGCCGTTTACTTTGAGTAATCGGTTGGTCTTTACTCTCGACTTCTTTTTGTTCTTGCAACTGTTCCTCTTTTATTTTGTCGTGCTCTTCCAGAGGGCGCGTTGTTTGGCTCGGCGTTTGATGCATCGTACCGTAGTGCAGGTTTAATGATTGTGCCCGTCGGACTTCAAGGGCACCGGTACCCACAAAATCAACACCACCTCCATTTGGGAATGGCTTTGGGGATCCACGGGCACGCTCATTTTCGTAGGTTATATTGTTAAATGATTGCTTCTGATTATAGCAAATGGATATAGCCTGGCGCAGCCATTTGTTTTCGGCCTCCAAATGCGACAAACGTTTGTTAGTTTCGTTTTTCTCCAATCGCAACTGAAATATATGGGACTGTCGAAAAATGATCAGGAATGTTAAATCTAAGGATATGCTCAAATGTTCAATACGCACCTTTAGCTCATTAATATCTCGCAAAATATGGACATTACCCTCGTGTAAAGCCCACTGACGCTCATCAACCATTGCTTTTACTCTGAGAGGGAAAACATAGAAAATGTTTTCAGCTTATAACCCAAATGTTTGACTTCTTACCGACTAAGCAGTGCATCTTCGCGTATGCGCGCGGCCTCCTTCACCTCTCGTACTACGTCAGTCATCATTCCTGGAGTGTAAGCGCCTGAAAAAAAGTAATCGATAGAAAGTGATCACCGATTTGAAGCCATAATAGGAGTACCATTTTGTTGATACCTGAATGAAAGGTGGATGCCGGGCTGTGAGTGCCACCCATACCCCCGCCAAACACCAAAGGTTGACTATGAGTGCTTAATCCGCTTAAGCTATCTCTACGGTGCCGCATAGTGCCCGAGCCGACACCGGCCCAAGTTTGACCACCAGGTGTGTGCTTTAAAGCTTCGATATCAACTGCATTTTTGTACCAGCGCAATAGAGTTAATAAAAAAGGGTATTAGTGGCAATACATTTTAACGATTGATGTAAAATAGCGAGGACGTAAAAAAATAAGGAGAGTTGTTTAACTAAGAAGCTTATTTTAATACGCATTTGTTAAATGACTTGCATTTTCTACAAGTCAGAAAAAACAAACCTTTTGTTTCGTGTAAGTTCTGACAGATCTTAGAATTGGTGTCATGCAGTATGTTTATTTGTTCCATTAGGGCTGCAAATAATTTATTTTGCTGTGCTAGATCACAGCCACTGTCATTGTAGTAGCCATTCCGACAATCTGGGGTATTCTGACCACTTAGCTTTGAATCGTTGTCGGAGGGATTCAAAAGGCACGGCTCGCTGAATCGAAACCTGAAATTAGGAAGGTAGGGTAACTATTAGATTTAACTGTTAGGAATGAATTTCCTGGCTTACCCTTTGTTAAAACTGGGATTACTTCCGCTTGCTCCGAGAACATCTGCTGAATTGGGATCATTTTCTGAGCCAGCGCCTTCTGCCCCTCCCATCATATTGACCTGAGGGGGTAAGCTGGCGAAATCGTGGCTATCATCGCCACCGTAGCTTATACCGTGGCAATTAAGGCTCGGCGGTGGAAATAGCATCGGGTATCGATGACTAAGAGAGTGCGAATGCTGTACCACAGTAAATTTCGTTATGTTTGCGTTGAACTCAAAATATAGATTTTAATTTCGTGCCTACTCACACGTTGAATCCCAAAACTATAGGGCGTGCTTGGGCTTATTCCATATCTTTGTAAGGGGTTTTGCAATTCCTGCTGCTTCTTGTGCTGTAGTAGCTGTTGACGAACAAAAACGTGCTTGTGAGCTGCTGCTGTGGACGGTAAAAATTCTAAAAACTCAGAAGATGACGATTGTTGGGTGTTGGTAGCATCACGTAAGCAGGTTTCCAGCCATTCGTCGAGATGATCCTTGGAATAGCTGTGCTCTTTTATGTTAACTTTACTGGAGTTGGAGTAGTTAACGGGAGACGCCAGTCCAGTTTCAGTTTTTTTCGCTGGAGATAAAGCTGGAGCGTTGCGCGGTTTCATTTTCTTGCGCATAGTGGCTTCTATACCTAAAATAAAGTATTGGAAGAACAGATATTTTCGACGCTTAATAGCCTGACATAGAAAGTAGAAAAGTGTCTGAAACTGACAAAATCAAAAATAACTCTTAGTCGAAGCTTTGTTAACTTATTTCAGCCCACTACTGTTAACAAGGACAAAGAATGCCGCAACTACAGTGTTAACGGCACAATTTTTCGTACTTCGTGGGCGTCAGAGTGGTTACGGTGGTATGATGAAACCACCTTAAGCTGCACTGGCATCTGTAACTTATCCAAGCTTAATCCCAACTGTCCACATCGAACCTAATCGATTTATTATGGTATAGATTGGTACATTTTTTAGTTTTTCTTGGTAAACACATAAGGTAGTTTACCATCGATTACATACACATATTTTTTATCAGGCTCTCTATCGAACTTTATTTTGGTATTATATTTTAGTAGTAGCTGACCACGTCCCTCAATAGCTTTCTGCTGGTATAATTATTTTCAAATTTGGTATCAAATTAACGGAACTGGTAAACGGAGCGACCGTATAAAGTATATTTCGTCTTGATCAGGATCAATAGACAAGTCGATTTCGTCATTTGTGTCTATCCGTCCATCTGTCTAAATGAACGCTAGGATCTCGGAAACTATTAGAGACAGAAAGTTGGGACTACAATATCTCTCTAGCGCACACAATCCGTGAGAATCTATTGGCGCTAGAAAGCATCCATATTCTAGAAATCAAATTAAAACGATTACTGACCGTAAACTCGGAAAATTTGTATAGGTGAAATCAATTGTTAAACGTGGGAATACTACTATTGACCATTTTGTTCATACTATTTTCTAAGCCAAAGACTGTACCGTTTAATTTTTAAATTCTGCTTTGCACGCGTTTTGTGTCAGAGTGGGCGTGGCCGGATGAAATCTAGGGACAAGTTGCAGTGGCATCTCTTTAATACGTATTCTTAAGCACAATTTTCTAGCTCTTATGTTTTTCGGGTTTTGTGGACGTTAGAGTGGGCGTGGCTTGATCGAAAAAAAACTACGTCAGATGTAAGTTTTTCTAGAAATGCGAAAACCGCCTTTCGAGCTTGGTGGGCGTAACAGTGGGTGTGGCCGGATACCACCATAAGATGCGCTGGATTCTCAAGATTATGCATACTTAATTTCAACTTTCTAGCTTTAATAGTTCCTGGGATTTCAGCGAATTTAGTTTTCCGAGATTTGTGGGCATTAGAGTAGGCGCGGCAGGTTGCTAAAATAAACTTCCGCTGCGTAGGGACCTCAAAAATCTGTCGGCTTAGTCTTTGTATCTCTTATAGGTTCTAGGATATCAGCGTTCATACGGACTTGGGTATTGATACTGATCACGAATATATATACTTTATATGGTCGAAAACGCTTCTTTCTACCTGTTACATACTTTGCAACGAATCTAGTATACCCTTTTACTCTACGAGTAACGGGTATAAAAACAGTCTGGCACCAATCAGCAAATCCTGACGCTTCGCTCTGTGGAAGCTGGGATCTCCCAGAACTAAATTGGCAGGTACCTTCCACTTGGACACATCTATGTTTAGACCAGGTTGACGCTCTGCGATGTAAGACGCTTCAACTGCCTCAATGCATACCGAATACGTGGATGAGACTTCAGGCAAACATTAACCGATGCCCAATCCGTAATGAATTCAGTGCCTTTAAGGCCAGTCACCGCTACAGAGCCGTTAAAGCTGAAATTGGCTGGCTAGCCGTGATGTGATGAGGTGAACTTGTGAGCCGGAATCAAGTAGCCCTCGGCAGGGAAGAAAGTCTTCTGATCGGCCACGAACGAAAATGTTGGCGGTTGGCAAGAACACTGCTTCAGCGATAAGTGGCGATCCTGGGTCACAAAGTTATTAGCTGGCAAAGCCTGAGAGGTTCTGCCTCATTGGCAGGATCCAAGACGGAAGCGGGAACGAAAGCAGTGCTGGGCAAGGATGTAACAGGGCATGATGTCGCGAGCGAAGTGTCCAGACTTGCAAATGAAGCAAAGGGCAAGACGTCGGACTTCATCGTATCGTTCCTTAACTGACAAGGCGAGGAACCTTGAGCAAGAAGCCACAGCATGTACCAGGATACCGCACAGGGCACACGGAGCCGGCGGCGCATTAAGGAGCATGCACGAACGACTATGATGCGAAGTTAAGGCCAAATCCACAGTCTCAAGTGTACGGCACCTTTGTTCCAAAAACCGAGCCATAGATCCCCAAGCTGGCAGGCTGTCAGCACTGTTTCCTGCGAGAAAGCTTTCAAACTTCGTCTTTGTGGCAGGTTGACTTTTAAAAGATGATCTGGATGAGGAGGCATCCTTGAAATTCGTCCCCCGTCACGGAACTCATGTGGGCCCGCATATGACCATTGAATCGGTCGGATAACTCTCAAAGAGTTGCAACGGACTCGACTTTCCTTAGCTGTAGGATATCGTTGATGTGAGCCTGGAATATTAACCGTCGATTACTAAACCAGTTGCGCAAATATCAAGGGCAACATCATAATTCGCGTCAATAATCTGCAACGCTCTCACAGTCTCCAAGGCTGACTTCCGCAGACATGAGATGAGCTTCTCCATCTTGGTAAAGTGAGGATGACTGTCAATCGTAGTCTTAAACGGTCCGCATCGCAGCCTTGACTTTCTGATGCAGGACCTCCATTTCTTGACAGGTCACCTCTGCTCGTCTTTGCAGCAGCAGATCCAGTGGCTTCAGCTCCAGACTCCATTATGTAACTTAAGTGCACGGTGCACAATAATCAAAACGGGATGCGAACACGTCGGGATCACCGGGGCAGTTCAAATTCCGTATTTGTATTCCGAATTCAAAACAAAACCAAATCAACCTCGCAACAAAACCATGCCGAATGCAAGGGTATAAGCTTAACAACAAAAGCTTGACCTACAGCAGTTCTACCAATAGCGTATGCACTACAAAGTAACAGTAAAACTCATAAAAAACTGGCAGAAAAAAAACTGCTGATAAACCCGCCGCTGCTCATCCGTCTTTCTCTTTGGCTGCTTGGCACAACATGCACATTAATAAACGTTCTTCTCATTATAGAATGAACTCATTCGTCCATGAAGAAATTTATTCAACTATTTTTAAATGCCCAATGAAGGGAGCAAAAGTAATGCCACACATTAAAATGCAGAGATATCGGTAAGTTTGAAAATTAAATAATGTAACATATAATATAATACATTTTTGAAAAGTCGTTGATGCAGTGCTCATTGGCTTGGTAATGCCTTGAACAACCAGTGAGCAACTGAGCATCTGAGCAATGAGAGTTGACTCTTTTAAAAAGAAGAACAAGTGAACATGTTCCCATTAACGAGCAGTATTTACACAACACTGATTCTAACACCCACAAAACGCATAAAACTATAAATGCTAAGATCTCGGGAAATATAGAAGGTAGAAAGTTTGAATAAGCATACATACATATTTTAGAGATGACATTTCAGCTAATGGTGGTAAACGGTGCATTTATAGTATTAAAATTTATGACTTGATTGACTTTGTATTATTTTTGTCAATACCTATTGATTTATAAAAAAAAGTTAATATCGGACACTATTATAATATACAATTCGACCATATATTTTAAACCAGGGGTGCTCAGCGCCCATGCTCTGAGTGCTGATTTGTTTTTGTAAATGCTCGGAGCATGCTCGCCCGTAAGCTTTAGGCGCTCGCGGCGATATTACAATAACAATTTTTTATCTTGTTTTTGGTGCCATATATGTATATCGCTCACCTATCTGCGTGCTGTTTAAATCCACTTCGGTAGGGACATTCTTTTGAACTTCGTAAGTCTTAGATAAACAAGAAGGGTTTGTACTCATATACCTCAGACTTGTGCTATCCATTTCTTCAGGGAAAAGGTTCTGGCCGCTGCTGTAATATTAACAAAGTAACCTTTTTATTAAATGTGGAAAATATGCTTGTCTGAATGTTTGCAACATTAAGACAACTGCGCATTTTCGGAAAACATCTTTAACGAAAAGTAAAAAGCAAAATCTCCCGTTTCTAACAAATTGGAAAACATTTTCACAAGGGATCTCGATTTGAAATGAAATAATAAACCCATTTAAAAGCTATTGTCGAGTGCCGCAACTATAAGATGCAGTTACTAGACAGTAACGGTAAGATTACTGTTAAAAATGCCCCCTTTCGTCAGAAAAATAACGTTTATTTGCGAAATATTGTTCGAGCTTAGTGGGCATAGCCGGATAGCGCTACCACCCATAGATGCAGTGACATTTTAAGATTATAATTTTTTAATCTTTCTAGCTGTAATAGTTCCTGAGATCTCAGCTATTTTAGTTTTGGTGTAGTATTACTAAAAATTTAGCTTTAATAATTATTTAAGGCGAAAAAGGCTTTTTTTTTGTCACCGAAGTGTATTATTATTTTTTTTAAATGTGTCTACAACCACTTTACCGTCCCTAAAACGCAATAATGTTCAGCTCGATGTCGTTTTTCAGACAGCCACGCACACTCTAACTACCACAAACCGCGTAAAAGTGTGGAGTCCTTAATATTAAAATTGATGTACTCGTTTGACCATGAATAACATTTTCAGTCAATATCTATCGGTTTACCAAACATTATTCAAATCGAAATATTTCACAATTTGTTAAGAAATGTAGGTTATGAGACCTCACATGGGTAGTACCGTTATCATCAGTTATTGCGTTCTGATTATTTTTGTTTTATTGAAAATGCTGCTAACATTTTTTAAATTCAAATTTTCAACCCACTCTCAAAAGCTAACTTACATTATGTGCGGACTTAATACAGAAAAGCCTAATCGAATTCACTTTTAACCATGATTTTTTTTAATAGGTAGTAAAGTCTACCTATTCCAATCATATCCAATCACCATGTTATCGAAAGCGATGAATGGATAAATATACACGCCACCGAAGAGCGGCAGTAGCAGGTCGTTTGGTTTTTTGCTTCGAAGTAGGTTCAGGTACTCCAATGAAATATATATATGTACATATGTACATTTCTTGAATAATGATCAATTCAACAATTGGTAATTTATTTACAAAGAACGTTGTCAGTATTTAAAATTAAGCTCACTAAATTGAAAGAGTGACAGATTTTTTATTTCGTCCATTTTACATTATGTGAGGGAAGTGCTCCGCAACGATTTCTTTTCCACTGCGGTCTGGTGGGTTGCTGTGGGAAAGACTCGGGTTTCCCAATAACAATCCCATCCCCCTCCAATTCACATTGTATTGGTAGTGCCTGCTGGTGGGAAATGAAAAGGGAAATGGCTGAGATGGAGATGACGTCGCCAAATGGCTTTTTAATGCCTGAACAGTTTATGCTGGGAAGTCAGGTTCTCCAAGCTTAGAATCACAGCTTAAAAGAAGGACACTAGTACTCTCGGGATATAACTCTTTGAGTGACACACTGCTTAACTTTCACTGTATTAAAAGAATTATTGAGCACACTGAGTACTTACAGTTGCACTTGCCAATTGGCCATCTAAAATAAACTCGCGTCACGCCAATGAATTTAATTTTATGATATTTTTACCGAGCGCGGGGTGTGGTCACAGCTTAAGCGCGAGTCTGGTAAGCGCAGACATTGCAAATTGAACAAAAACCAAGACTATTATTTATCGTAAAACAGTGCAGCAAATTATCTTAGTTAAAGTTAAATATATAAAAAGAAAACAGTTTGTAAACTGAGTCAACGAGTTTGATATGTACAAGCTAGAGCTGTAAACAATTCGATGTTTAAATCGATTTAATCAATCTTTTTGGATGAGCGAACAAATCGATTCTTTTTTAGGGAATCAATGCATCGACAAATTTTCTTACCTGAAAAAAATTGAGTAAGCGAAAAAATTATTTTAAAGTAATGTAACTCAAGTAAACTAATAAATATTAATCACTTCACTTGGTGTTGAGGAAAAAAAGAGATATTGATAACTACATATGTTCGTTTTTCAATTAATAATGTATACTGTTGTCCGCTCTGGATGCATAGTCACCAATCGCAAAGCGTCCTTGAAAACCAAAAACGTAGGCAAGCTTATACTCATAAATAAAAACACATGGGGCTTAAATAAATATCCAGAAACATTGATGTCAAACAATTTTTTTTAACGAATTTTACTTTTGTTTGCAACTGTAAAATCGGTGTTCCCCCTACTATTTTTAAGCAAAAATTTGATTTTTCATTAAAAATATTTTTTTTCGTTTTCGATCTTAAATCGACTTAATCGTTTTTTTTCAAGAATTTAATCGAAAAGAATCGATTCTCAAAAAGTAGAATTGTTTACAGCTCTAGTGCAAGCCACTATTGTGACCGATAACGAAAACGATAGCACTAGCCGATAATCAGCATTTGACATTCTACATTTTACAAAAATGTTAAAATGTTTCGATAGTTAGGTATTATTACTAGAAGGGAACCAAGAACGATAGTGATTTGTATAGATATTTGTTTCCGTTTATCGGTGTCATCATTGCCCAAGTGAGGAATCTACATTTTTTAATACAATACTAAAATTATTCGTATTCAAATAAACCTAACCTAAGCCTTGATATTAAAGAGCCACAGTGCTCAGTCCCAACATTCTTGCTCTTATTCTTCAAGAGATCTCAACGTTTTTAGTTTTTCGTGTTTTGTGAACGTAGTCAGATTGGATCTTTGAAAAAGCAGCAGCTTATCTCAACATGTCTTTTTGTACAACTTAATAATGAAATAAAGAAAATTAAAAATTTGTATCGACGAATTTGTTATCAAAGACTATTCTGTTTTTTGGATTGACATTTAATCTATTAGATTTTTGATATATTTTGTTATATTTGACGTTTTTGGTACATCGATATTGGGGAGAAAGGAATTTTTAAAGGTGCCCCAGTAGACCCGTTTTATGCATCCTTAATTCAAACTGCTTTAATTTTACTACATTTTACTTCTATAGATCCGTTTATTCGGCCGGATGGACAGAAGGCCATTGCATTTTATAAAATATAATCACCTTATTTTACCTTTACGTAAGATATTTTATCGTGTAAAACAGACAATAATCGATAAACAACAAGGCAATTTATGGATGGGCCAAACTAAACATTTATTTAATATTTTTAAAGTGCATACCCAATTTTTTAATGTAGTTTATCATGTGATTTTAAAATTATAAATGGTTGTCACATATAATTTATATTGAATACAAAAACAAAATTATATCAATCGATTTGGAAAATCTCATGGAATGCAGGATTTTGGGCTGATCGATAAATTATGGATAACGTTAGAGTCAATTGCGGATGGATATGTTATCGTCTTCTCCAGTACTATGTAATAAGCAACAGTTGTTACTTTGATGCAACTGTCAAAACAGAGCTTTTGCGAGCACTTTATGTACACATTTTAGGGGTAGAGGGTTTAAGCTCACAAGTGTTTCCTTTTGAACATTTTTTCCATTGAGTGTAAGAACAGTTTATGTGAACGCAATGGAAACCAGTCTCGAGTCCTAGCTGTTTTTTTATATATGAAATGCCTAAAGTTTACTTCGAAGACTTATTAAATGTTAAATCGACTAAACGAACACAAGAGTGCTTATAAGAAAATACAAATTGCTTCTTATTTGATTTGATAAATAATTTACGATTTTACGAATTTCAATATTCGGTTGCGGAAATAAGTTTTAACGAAAATACCCCACTTCGGAATCCGCAGCCTCCAAAAAACCACATTGAATCCAATTCCCTGCCATTGACCTGCGAAAAATCGATTTCAGTTATCCTTAACCACTGTACTGTCATATTTTAGAGCTTTCGCTTTCACATTGCGGTAAAGGCAATCTCTTGGTTGGTCCACGCGAAATGTGTTTCCAGTAGAGGTCGTCGTTTCTGTCAGGCAATGATCGTTACTTCCACTTCCGGTCTGGATAGCACTCCTACATTAGGTAAGACCGAGCACCTCCTTAGCCATGATTTGTGAGCTGATCATATTTATTAGGCACCGTTGAGGTGACCACACTTCTAGGCGCCTTCCTTGGCGTGCTCGTCCTGTTGCTTCTGCTTTTCCTTTACATAAGTCGCAAATGCTGCTTCCACTACCGCCATGCCGTTAATTGCTGCGACGAGCGCTACTTGGCGGCGAAGTGCGTGCAGAAGATAAGTGAGTACCATAGGCGGGGCGTTATGATAACTTAATCCGGGAAGGAAGACACGATAATCTTTTTACTCCCTGTCCTAAAAGCACGCAAACGACGCTATGATAACACCAGCTCCGATTCGGACGAGGACATTCTGCGGCGACTGCGTTGGCACCAGCAGCACCAATTGGGAGAAAAGACTGGTGGATATGGTTTAGGGATCAGCCAGATGAATCCGCTGTCAGCACAGAACTTCAACTACCACCAGTCAAGCGTTGACCTGGAGGTGAAGGTGACGCGTGACCCATTAGCTATCGCCGAGGGAGGCAAGGTCGGCATCCCATCGTCGCACAGCGAATGCAGCTCGAACGACTCGATAGAGGCCTCCGTGGATAGTAACACCGGCATTTTGACGGGCTTGAGCAAGGGTAAGCTACACGGAGTTAAGGGCAGATAATTGATAGGCTTTGAAATAAGTCTCGACTTCTTAAATGACAAAGCTCTTCACCTGTCGCCATGCTTTCCTACTTTATGTGCAGAACATCGGGCCAAGGCGCAAGCTCTAAAGTACCATCACAGGGTCGAGGTGGCTGCTCCCCCTAAGCTTGAGAAGGAGCGGGACAACACAGTCGTAGTGCCCATTGCCGGTGCATACAGCAGTATCGACAACAATAGTACCACCAATTACAATCCTACCAACAACAACGATGATGTAAGTCTCATTCAAGTCAGAATATCCATATTTTTTAATATTCGAATAAATTAAAAAAAATTTTTGGTATTTGAAAAAAATTAAAGCAAGTTAGTTGAAATAAGCCTGATCGAAAAAAAGTCACCTTAAAAGTTATTGAGTTTAACATTAGCAGCATGTAAAATAAAGTCCTCATGAGTAAAGGCGCTCTTTCAGCTACAATAAGCCAACGAGGGCTTGGCCCTTTTAATATTATTTAACATGGATATCGACTTGAGCCAAAAGGCGTATTTAGCCATTTTGTTTAACCGATTCCGATCAATTAGGAAGTTCCTGGCCCGATTGCTAGTTATTAAAGATAATAATTTAATCAAACTACCAATAATTTTGGAGATTGTTTATTATACGTCTCTAAGCTTTATTTCTAATGTTTTGTTTCTTATATTTATTCTTGGGCAATATTAAATATATCTAAATGTAATGATAATTATATTCGTATGTAGGTTACAATTTAGGGTATAAAGTTTATGATAAACTAAGGGAAACTATTTTAACTAACTATTATTATTAATGTTAATATTAAAATTCAGTTTTTAACAATAGTCATGTACGGTATGTTCAGTTGGTTTATTCAAACCTCCAGTGCGCGGTAAAAGTCTTTTCAGACTGGCACTAAGCCCACTAATATCTGGCGCTACTCTCAGATTCTCATTCAAAAACAAGAGGAAACGCTATAGTCGAGTGCCGCAACTATAAGATACCCGTTACCGTTTTTCAAAATTTTAAAATATTATTTTGCTAGTGCAAATTCACGAGGCGTATGAGTATGCTTATAGTGACGTCACTGCCCATGTGAGGCCTTATAACCTTAATTTCTTTATAAATAGCGAAATAATGTTCCGATTTGAAAAATCCTTTGTCAAATCAATAGATATTAACAGAAATAAGTTATAAAAAGTCAATCGAAGGCATTCATAATAATAGTATAGACGCCACAGTTTTCCGCGGTTTGTGGGCGTTAGAGTGGGCGTGGCCAGATGCAACTTCGTGGAAAGTTGCAGAAGCATCTCTTAAATACGTATTTTTATTCAAAGTTTTTAAGCTTTTATAGTTTTTGAGGTTTTTGCATTTTTGGTTTTTCGGGTTTTGTGGGCGTTAGAGTGGGCGTTGCTTGATCGGAAAAAAACAATTCGCATTGGGAGCATCATAGAAACGTACATGCTTAATCCGAACTTTCTATTTCTTATAGTTACCGAGATATCAGCTTTTCTAGAAAATCCGAAAACCGTCTCTTGAGCCTTGTGGGCGTATGGGTGGGTGTGGCCGGATAGTGTTACCACTATAAGATGCGCTGCCATCTAAAGATTATACTTTTTGAATTTCAACTTTCTAACTGCAATAGTTCCTGAGATTTCAGCAATTTTAGTTTATTGCGATTTGTGGGCGTTAGAGTGGGCGTGGCAGGATGCTGTAATAAACTTGCGCTGTCCCGGGACCTCAAGAATCTTCATGCTTAATCTCAACTTTGTATCTGCTATAGTTTCTGAGATCTCAGCGTTCATACGGACTGACGGACGGACGGACGGACAGACGGACATGGCTCAATCGACTTCGCTATTGATCCTGATTAAGAATATATATACTTTATAGGGTCGGAAACCCTTCCTTCTGCATGTTACATATTTTTCAACGAATCTAGTATACCCTTTACTCTACGAGTAACGGGTATAATAATTATGCTAACATTTCACCACCGCCATGTTTTATAACTGACGGTGGCGTCACTGCCCATGTAGGGTCGTATAATCTACTCCTCTAAAATAGTTTTGATGTGAAAAAGTCTATATCGTAGGTTGGCTGCTGAAACATGCTGCTTAATCTCTACTTTCAAAATCTCAACGTTTATGCGTTCTTCTGCATAAGTCCATATGTATATGTAGGTAAAGCGGCACGGAAAAGTTTCCTTTTACCTTTTACTTACATATGCATTAATTTTTTTTATTTTATTACCTTTTACCTTTTGGGGCATAACAAAAATACAAAAAGCTTTCTAGTTTTGTTTAAACATTGTCTAAACATTTTCAACGACCTTCGAAACGCCTTAGATTTTTAGGATAGAGATTTCTGCGCTTTCCCTTGACTAAAGCAGCAGATAAAGCTTATAACTTTTCTCTTTCCAGGAACCCCTGTTTGACACTAGTGATCTGCGCTCTATCAAGTCGGACGACCTGTTAGTGGGGATCGATCCCAGGGGAGTATCCATCCAACGTGGGCCCATCGAGCTCGAGTTATCACTGCTCTACGACGCACCAATGCGGAAGATGACTGTGCATGTGATGCAGGCCAGAAGCCTTCCGCCTTTGAGCACTGGTCAACCCACCCACACACAGGTGCGGATGTTGATGCTACCCAGCAAGAAGCAAAAGCTTAAGACCAAGATCCGCAGTGGCGAGAACCCTCAGTACATGGAAAGCTTTCTGCTGCACCGAGTCAACCCGGAGGAGGTAAACAACATGGGGCTTCGGGTGCGGATTTACGGTTGCGAGCGGCTGCGGAAGGAGAGGTTGATTGGGGAGGCTTACGTGAGCTTCGCCACCGTAGACCTTGAGCTTGAGACAAACCTGTGGCTACCGCTCGAGCCCCGCAACACCTCAGGCCTGGGATCCACCAGTGATTTGCTTAGCCTTGCAAGGTCGGAGAGCGCAGGCTCCACCTCTTCCATGCAGCACGGAGGTGTCTCCGAGTTGTTGCTGGGCCTAAGCTATAACGGCGTTACTGGGCGGTTAAGCGTAGAGATCATCAAGGGCAGCCAGTTTCGTAGCCTGTTACTAAACAAGGCGCCCGACACGTACGTCAAGATGGTAATGGTGAGCAGCATTGGGCAGGAGATCTCTCGGGCCAAAACTTCAACCCGTCGGGGTCAGCCAAACCCGCTTTTTAAGGAGACATTCGCGTTCCAGGTGGCACTGTTTCAACTTAACGACGTCACTCTGATGATTTCTGTTTACGCCAAGCGGCACATGAAGAAAAACGAGATGGTCGGCTGGTTCAGCCTGGGTTTAAATTCTTCCGGTTCGGAAGAAGTGGCCCACTGGGCGGACGTGTGTGAAATGCCCAAGGGTGAGATGCTTGCTCGCTGGCACGTCCTGGTGGACTCCTGATTCGAACAGATGGGCCAGTCCTCGAGACGCAGCAAAAGGGCCCTCGGTATGCTGGGTCTCGCTGCGTTCAAGGATCGGTCCCGTGAAAAAGGTCCAAAGGAGTCGCATCAGGAGGACGAAGGAGTCCGGTTTTCGCCAGACAATGCGGTTGCACTCGAAATTGAGCCGGGTCTCGAGCTTGACTTTGTCTAAACCAAAGATCTACGTATTGTTAATTGTTTTACGAGAGTGCAAAAACGTACCACTACTCATAATGTCGATTTATCAGTCAGGGATAAGTCCGAACAACAGGTTTGGAATATTCGTAATTTAACCCTGTCTGAACAAAAAAATATTTTTATTTTTTAATTAACTGGGCACACATTTTGTTTATAAAATGTGAGAAATATGCAAAACTAAAAAAAAAAGTAGAATATTGAAATTTTATACGCAATGAAACGCAAAGTGCATGCAAATACTTAAATTACTACTCAAAATTTGAATTTTACGATTGTTTGTGATAATGAATACGATATGAATAACCGGAGGTGCATCATTTGTTCATCTGAACTAATTTAAGGATGAGTGGCAACTTTTTGTAATAAACATTTCTGCATCCTGATATTTAAGTATTAACCCTGGCATAGGCTGCCCAAAGTCTGTTAAATCTAGCACTTTTTTATTACCAAAAATATGAAAATTGAATATGAAAACCAAAAATACTTAGGAATAATTTTAGTAAAAATAATCGTACATATATACATACGTTTTACCTGCAAATTTACATACATTAAAACAAAAAATCATATTTTGATCAATAATATGCAGTATCAGTTTTGATATTCAGAAAAATACAAAAATTTATCTGTTCTATAAGATAAAGAGAGAAGATAATTTGGTAACAAAAATTTTATAAAATCATAATATAACCTGCGATTGGGCTTCATAGAGCTTTACTTGACATCGGCTTAAAAATGGTCCTCAAATAAAATAACCGGCACGATTGGTGTGATTCGATTACCAAAAACTCTATTAATTAAGAGAATTTAGTTTTTGCATTAAATCTGCGTGAATGAAATAAGTTTAACTTATAAACCTAAAATGGAAAGCTTTAATAAATATCTAAACAATTTTTTTCACTCAAGTTGAATCGCAGCATAAAAAAATAACTTAAGCTATGGCAATAAGCGTGCAAGAAACTTAACGGTAATTTCTATATGAAACCATAAAAATGTATTTGGAATTCATAATATTTATGTATATCTGTTAAAAATCTTTTTGTCTTGAGTGTCGAATATTTTATAATTGCAATGAAAGTGAATGTGTGTTCGTTGTTACAACAAATGATAAATGTATATATAACCTAAGTCTGCAACTACATTTTGGAAGGAAAGCGAGGCTCAATTTATTTAACTAATCGGAAGGGATCTATTACACACTTTTCAATTTTAACATTACAACCGCAATTAGCTCAAGTGCGGAGTTGTTGTCAAGTATTTCAGACTCTGAGTAGAAACTCCCTCATAAAATGCAAGAAAATAAACTAATTATTATTTTTACTGAGACGGATACCATATTTCTACTCTTCAATTTAAGAATTATATTGTCATTGTTGAATATCAAAGAATCATTTTAATATTACTTAATTGACACCTAAAATAAAACGATATTATATAAAAACCCATACTATACACAGCTATTTATTAATATACCTCGTAGTTTATTTTCTGCGTTTTTTCCCAATTTTTCGTACGGTCTCTGAGTCATTGTTATCGTCATCATTTTCCGCACTTAGTTCCGAACTATCCTTAGAACGTGGGTTTAAATTGTAAACTTGCTGGGTGTCCCATTCTTTGCGTAGCTCACTAAGCATACCAGGGGTCAACAGCCCTTGCGCGAGAAGCCTTTCGGTAAGACGTCCACGCGACAAGCTGGGAAGGCGTGGTTCCTTGACGCGAGTCATTCGACGCGGTGGATAATATGAAGCTTCTCCGTCCTGGCTAGCCTCAGTGTTCTTCAGCAAGCGAGTTATTTGAAAGACGCCTTGCTGTATAATCCCGTCCAGTTCCTTCTGAGCTTCTCGAACGTTGGTTGCATCGGGAAAAAGATCCATGAACCGATAGCTGTAACAAAACGTGTTAAGTGTTTTACGTACGGTAGACTAAAGTACGTAGACTAAAGTGAAACTTGCCTTAGCCAAAGATACAAATCCATTACGTCAAAAACTGCCTCCAGGTGGACTAAATCCAAGATAGTTTTCGGTAGCTTGTATGGCCAGCCACAGTTCTTTCGAATGAAATCAAAACTAATAGGCTCATTACGGCTATATTGCCGTGTTAACTTAAGGAAGATGGAGCAAACAAAGGGCATCTTGCGATTGATTGGGGCACAGCAAAATACGTAGCGGGCCCGCAAAGGCAGTGGAACATGTTGTATCATCTCGGCCAAGAACTTAAAGTCCTCGATGTTGCACATAAAGTATAGAGAATCATCAACAGTACACAGATTTACAAATATGTCCATTAGGTTGCTTAAGGATGAACTTGGAAGGTGGTAAGCGTAGAGCTCAATCTGATCTGCAGTGGGATGCAAGCCCGCCTGCTTCAATGGGTCAGGAGTCTGGGCCAATATGCACTGCAGAGTCTTTAAGTCCTCAGGCTTGAGGGCAGTTACAAATCCGTGCTCCCACTGAGTGTGGAAGCGGCCCGCTCTTCCCGCAATCTGAAGGGCTGATGAAACCGATATTGTGTCGATTTCACGCTCTCCGCGCTCGTTCATCGTCGGCTTGATCAAGGAATAAAATATGATTCGACGAATGCTCCTGTAGGTATATAATATGCACATTAGATCTGTCCGGAAAAAGTATACAGAATATTGTACTTACAAATTCAAGCCCATTCCGATTGCGTCTGTCGCAACCATTACCTTGCAGCTATTTGCTGGATCATTGAACTTGGCAGCTTGGGCGAGCTTGGTACCAGGTGGTAGACCGCCATATATTACAGCTACCTCCTTGCCCCTAAAAAATTTCGGTCAGCGCTAATTCAGAAAACATTACAAACCTATACTGACCTAGCCTCTATTTCGCGTGAAACTGAATATATATCATGTTTGCTGAAGCACACGATGCAATCACCGGGTACGACATTGTCCAATGATCCGAGAGCACTATTTTCTACTGTCAGCTCAGTAAGACGATCGTATCGCTTAACTTCAACTGTTTCACCGGTGGTTTCACAAATTTTTTGCAACAGATCCAACGCACCTGGTTCCCCACATACGTGGACTTCATCCGCGATCAGTCCGAGGAAAGCCCGCGTCCATGCCCATCCGCGCTGAGGATCACGGATCTGTTGTATTTCATCGATTACACCCACCTCATCTAAAACGAATTAGGCTGCACAGATTATAGCTGGGCATGGTAGCGAAGCACGTCACCTACATGGAGTGTTGACCGATGTCATTTCGACAGTGCACGCGACATGGTTCGCTGGAGAACTTTCGCTGATACCAAACTTGCGCTCTTCCCCGGTCACTAAGTCGCAATTGGTTCCCAGCTCATTGGCTTTGTTGTACACTTCAGTGGCCAAAAGCTTTAAGGGTCCACAGTAAACGCCGGATTTCGCTTTTAGAAACCTCTCCATGGCATGGAAAGTCTTTCCGGAGTTCGTAGGTCCCGCGTGAAACACTATCTTTCGCGTAATGGCGCGAGCATTGCTATACCAGTTTGCAGGCTGCCTAAGGTCGGAGATCTTCTTTAGGTCGTCCATGCAGTCCAGGTGCGGAAACACTGTCTTTGCATGGCTCAGAAAGTATGGGAAAATGTTATCTATATGACCTGCTCCTTGTGTAATGTCGCTGAAAGTTATGTGCAGGTCCACAGGAAGATTTTCCGCTTCGATACAGTATCTTCGGAATGAGCCGAATGCTTGTTGCTGTAAATAAGCTTGGAACGTTTGGAATGTAAGACGTGGATGAGTAGAACCAATTGGCGATCACGTACCGTCTAGCCCATTTTCGCTGCAAAGAGACTTGATTTCCCGGCGTTGTGTGAACTTATTGAGAATCTTCAGCAGCTCAACCTTTTCCAGTTTTCCAACCAACTCGGAGCCCACGTCCTCGGACTCTGAGTTCGCCTGTACCTGCACCGGTTTAAATAGCGCCGACACGTTTGTTTCCGATTTTTTTCGCGAAAACTGAAGGGCTGCCCGGTGCAGTCGTCGTAAAGCCGGCGTAATTGAAAAGCATGGACGAAAGCAATGCGGGTGCCGCACAACACCCAGTAGGCTGATGCAGCGCATACAATTTAACATGGTTCTCCGGCCTGGTGCTATAAAAATCCGGTTTTAATTCATCTATTCGTGTAACTTTAAATCGGAAACCCACGTTTTGGGTTCTGATATAACAAATGGAGGATACAGCTGACTGTCAGCTGATTGTAAGGTGGTAACTGCTTGAACTATCTGCTTTTCTGTTTGCGTGACGTCATTAGTCACTAAATGTCGTTGCCACATCTAATTTACAATAAAATTTATTTTTATAATTTTGTAAAAATATAGGCCACTAATTATTACTCGTCATAATATATTATACGGGTGTTTATTTAATTGGCGTAATTGTCGTCAAAAATAAAATTTATATACATACATTTGTTCATATTGCCGTTTATTTTTATCTTAGCATTACGTACTTGTTGATAAATGTTTATTTTTATAAAACCTTATAGTTCATTGGCAAAGTACTTTTTCAGAGCATGTTCTTGAGGTAGTGGATCTGATAAAGACGCTAGTTTTTAATGTTATTTAAAGTGTATGATAAATTTGATAAGATGTTTTGTAGCAAATGCCAAAAATATATAAACAGAAAAAAATTTGTAACTACATTTTTAATAATTTGTGTGTAATTCCGAAAAACCCCCAAATACAGAAATTTCCCACATATTGAAAATTACTTAATAAATCTTTTTATATGCTATATTTCAACACGACTCTATGGCGCATTTCTTGATAATACACTGTAAACGGTTGTTATTAAATCGCTCATCTCTATTCTTCTATTGCTGTGGCAACGCTGTGCATTAATTGTCAGAAACAAAATGACTCACATAAAATTAAAAAAAAACTAATTTAAATAGTATAAATTGGCAAGATTAAAAAGTCGACAGTGCAATGGGCTTATTTGGAAAAACCTCCAGTAGGGATCCCAAAGAGCAGGTACTGACATATTTTCGGGGCATTAATGTCATCATAGTTGTTTTGATTCAATCACTTGTTCCTGTCTTGGTGTGCGTTATGCTTTGATTATATTGATTAGGTACAAGAATGGACCCACAAGTTACGGAAGGAGGGTAACCAGCTGGATCGCCAAATTCGGAGTATCCAGAGGGAGGAGGAGAAGGTAAAGCGTTCCCTTAGGCAGGCGGCCCAGAAAAATGACCGCGATACCTGCGTCATTCTTGCAAAGGAGATTGTAAACGCGCGGAAGGCTATTAACCGCATATACACGTCTAAGGCGCACCTCAATTCCATCCAGATGCAGATGAAAAACCAGCTATGTAAGTGGTCTCGCTCCCCGTTTACTTGAAACTAACGTTTTCCTTTCCAGCCACTTTGCGAGTAGCGGGATCCCTGCAAAAGTCCACAGAGGTCATGCAGGCCATGCAGAGTCTTGTACGATATCCGGAGCTGGCCGGCATCATGCGCGACATGTCCAAGGAAATGATGAAGGCCGGTATTATAGAGGAAATGCTGGACGAGACCATGGACTCTCTGGAAGAGTCCGAGGAGCTGGAGTTGGAGGCAGGGAAGGAGGTGGACAAGGTTTTGTGGGAGATCACGGATGGCAAGCTCGGAGAAGCTCCCCTGCCTCCCGAGGCAACTCCGGCGGACAAAGCGACTACAACTGTTGCTAGCGTCGAGGTTTCGGTTGTGGAAGATGATGAAGAAGGCGAAGAACTGCAGGAGATGCAAAGCCGCCTAGCATCGCTGAGATCTTAGAATAACTCTTTCATCGATTGCTAATAGATTTGAAATTAAGAGCAACTGATTCCCAATAGCGGGCTCTTTCAAAATACTAAACGACAAAAACCCATAAGCGCTTAATTATAGAAATCAAAATAATCTTTAGAAACTAATATTCACTTTATATATTTTAAGTGTACAGTGCAACCGCTCTATTTGTGTTTAACTGCACGACTTATACCATTAAATTTACAAAAGTTACATTCATTTCATTGTTATTAATTTATGTATATATTTTGTGGAATTTTTCAAGTAAAAGGGGTCGATTTTGTAAGTTGCGACTAGGACCTTACGTTGTTTTCTATCCAGTCTAGATATGCCGCAACCCTTGTGTACACGCCCGGCCACCCCTTTAGACCGCAGGGTGTGGGTCCATAGGAGACCACTCCAGCAATATAATAGTTGGAATATCCATTGGAAAAATCTTCAAGCAGGAGGGGGCCACCGGAGTCCCCCCGGCATGAGTCGACACCCTCCATCCCGCCGGCGCACAGTTGTTTCGAAGTGAGAGTTCTGCGTTGGGTGGCATACCGTTGCTTGCAGTCGTCGCTTAGCACCGGGTCTAACTCCGCCTTAAGTTTGATGTTGGACGTAAAGTTATTCTCTGTCCGACCCCATCCGGCTACCACAACCTTGCGACCGAGGAACATATTGTTTTGCTGGGACGGTAGGGTGGGCAGGCACACTGGTGAAATAAAGTCGCTGTACTGTACCTCGTCTCGCAGACGCAGTAACGCAATATCATTTAACTGATCACGGGAATTCCCTGGGTATTGCGGGTGTGGAATTCGATCCAGAACAGGCAAGTCAACGTAGGGTTCGTTGCAGTCCCTCTGTCCGTTTTTGCCTGTTGTGCAATCCGGATTGCTGCTTGCATCCCACTCGCCCAAGCGTACACCCGTCAGCTGCCAGTCGTTGGGAATAGCGGAGACACAGTGAGCTGCTGTAAGCACATAGCGAGTGTTGATCAGGGATCCTCCGCAGTGGTGGCCCTTTATGTTGCCGGCTGGTAAAGAGGAAGATCAGTCTTTTACCTATGGTAATGGTTATGGTTTACTCACGCTTCGTGTACTCTATGAGCGCCATCCAAGGGAACTCCCGCTTGCCCGTCTCTTTACCGCCTACTACGCGATCTCCGAAGTTGTCCCCGCAATTTGGCGCCTGTGGCAACAGACTGGAACCCAGCGACTGTCCTTGATGCTGGGCATCCATGCGTGAGTTTCCACAGCAAATCTGAAAAAAATGGATTTCCATTCACAGTATATATGTATACGTATGTATATTCTTTATCAGGATCAATAGGAAAGTTGATTAGGCCATGTCCGTCTATCCGTATGAACGCTGAGACCTCAGGAACCATAACAGATACTAAGTTGGGCTCAAGCATGCACATTCTTGAGATGCCTACATAGCGCAACATTATTTTAGCATCCTGCATCGCTGAGATCTCAGGAGCTATTACAGCTAGAATGTGGTACCATTATACGGAGACTGCCACTCTTAGCACGAAAAACGGGTTTCACTATTTGTAGAAACGCTGACTTCCCGGTAACTATAGTTGATAGAACGCGGAAAACCAAGATAGTTAGGCATAGGCATACATATTCTAGAGATGCCACTGCTGCTGAAGGTGATATTTCATCCGGCCACGCGCGCTGTTACGACCATAAGCTGCGAAAAAGTGAGGCTTTAATAATATTAAAATGTATTTTTTCGGTTGATCTTGTATAACATTTTTTTGTCATATATATCGGTATCGATATGAACTATTTTATTTCAAATAGAACCGACGTCAGCATCAGTTATTAAACATGATTTTTCTGGCAAAAGGTGGCGCATCGTCAATTTGTACCAGCAAAATTAATATTTTAAAATTGATAAAACTGTAACGGGTATCTTATCGTCGCGGCACTCGTTTCCTCTTGTTATACCCGTTACTCGTAGAGTAAAAGGGTATATTAGATTCGTTGAATAGTATGTAACAGGTAGAAGGAAGCGTTTCCGACCCTATAAAGTATATATATTTTTGATCAGTATTAATAGCGAAAACGATTTAGCCATATCCGTCTGTCGGTATGAACGCAGATATCTCAGGAACTCTAAGAGATACAAAGTTCAAAATTAAGCATGAAGATTCTTGAGGTCCCTACGCAGCGCAAGGTTATTACAGCATCCTGGCACGCCCACTCTAATGCCCAAAAAATCAAATTTTTAGGAACTTTCTCGTAGTTTTCATCCTGCCACGCCCACGCTCTAACGCCCACAAACCGCAGAAAACTGTGGCGTCTATAATATTATTATGAATGCCTTCGTTTGACCTTGTATAACTTATTTCTGTTAATATCTATCGACTTACCAAATTTTTAAAATATTACATATTAAAAAATTAATATTAAAATTTTTAAATCGGAACAGTATTTTGCAAATTATGAAGAAATTTAGGTTATAAAGCCTCACATGGTTTCTGACGTCACTATCAGTTAATCAACATACTTTCTCTGACAATAGTTGGCGCCTTGTGAAATTCCACTAGCAAAATTAATATTTTAAAATTGTGTAAAACAGTAACGGGAATCTTATAGTCGCTGCACTCGACTATAGCGTTTCCTCTTCTTTTTCTATCCTGTTTTGCTCTTCTTTGGGAAAACAGTACCTTATCGTTAGCGATGACTTTGCAATTGGCGATGATAAAAAAATTACTAAAATCGCGACAAATAGTACGTTTCAAAGATGTTTTAAAAGCTTTTCGAGAAATTGAAATATTTGTTGCAGAATTTGCGGAAATGTTTTTCGTATAAAAATGAAGGAAATCTTGAAGCAATCAGCGGAAGTGGCCGTCTGCTAAAGCACATATTATTTACATATGTACATGCAAACATGCAAATATTGAATGCAATAAATCACAAACATTATACTCGGCGTTCAATAACAAAATGTTGATTATATGCTCTTCTTTTCTTTTACAGCCCTATGATTTATTTTGTAGTCACCATCGCCTTAATAATAAACTTATTTTTTTTTAATATAGAAACGTAAAAGTTGTAACTCACGAGTACTTGTCCATTGCGGTAGCCGCATTGACTGTTTTGCAGAAATTTACGTCTCTCATTCGATAGCGTTCCGCTTTCGACTAGTTGAAAGAGATATCCACATTCCCTGAGCTTAATGCAGGTTCCGCTGTTGTCATCTGGCGTTGTGCAATACCCGAAGATTTCTGGGGAACAAAGATCAAACTCGAATCAGTGATAAAGACGGGAAAGAGAATTCTCTGCATTGAGGCTCGGTTTGACGGGGTGAAGTTCAGCGCTGATAATGGATTGCTTTGTGCTGTAAAAAATGTAAATAATCCTCTACTGCGCCTTTGGTTCCTCAACTTGCCTTGTCCATAAGTTCTGCTATTTCCCATTAAGAGTACCACAAGAAGGGCCGAAAGAATGATTGGATCCATTGTAATTTTTCAAGCTGCCTTTTTCCTATGTACGTGGAAGAACAAGCCGCTAAATGAACGCCTGCTAGCACACACTAAGTATGTATATCTGGAAACTGTCGAGCTGTCGAGCTACACTCGTTCTGATGCAGAGCTTATCAGCAGTTCTCTTCCAACGACTTAACGAATCTCACCAAAATTAAGAGAGACTTTCTGAGGGTCTGGTTTACTACCAAACAACCAGGAAAGCCCAAACCAAACTTCAGTTCCGAGACGTTCAAGTCTGGCTGCTTACTTGTTTTTATTGCTGTTGCTCATCAGGGAACTTTCCACTTATACGGAACGATGCTTTTATTCATGTGTTGGACATAAGGCTGAAAGGAATTGAACTGGCTTGGGCCATTGATCTCGCCACCTTTTGTCAGAAAATAACATCTTTAGTACTGACGGTGAAGTTACTGCCCATTTCAGTGCTTAATAAATTATAATATTAATAAATTGTGAAATAATGCTAAGGTTTGTTTTTAAATCGGTAGGTATTAACAAAATAATCAGCAAGTAGACTCCACATATTTCCGCGGTTTTGTTAGAGTGGTCGTGACCAGGTGTTAAGACAATCTTGATCAAAACTTTTTTAAATCAGAAGATGTTCGACAAAATTAAGTTAATAAACATGCCTCCTCATATGATTTTAGAGTAGATTGAGCTGGTCAAGGCGAATAGTTTTCAAAGTTATTTTTCTTGCATATTTCCATCTAACTCTATGATTCAATTGTACGAGAGGTGTTGAGGTGGTCCTTTGTGGAGTAGCAAGTGTCTTAGCCGTGAGTATTTTCAGCAACTTTGAAACCGCCTGGATGGTTATATTTAAAATTGCTTTTCTTCGAAGTTTCCAAAAATGGCTAAACTCCTGGTTTTTATACCCGTTACTCGTAGATTAAAAGGGTATACTAGATTCGTTGAAAAGTATGTAACAGATAGAAGGAAGCGTTTCTGACCCTATAAAGTATATATATTCTTGATCAGGATCAATAGCGAAGTCGTCTGTCGAAAGAGTCTGTCTCTCAGGAACTATAGCAGATACAAAGTTGAGATTAAGCATGAAGATTCTTGAGGTCCCGGGACAGCGCAAGTTTATTTCCGCATCCGCCCACTCTAACGCCCGCAAATCGCGAAAAATTAAAATCTTGGGAACTATTAGAGCTAGAAAGTTGAAATTCATTATGTATAAACTTTGCATGCCAGCGCAACTTTTAGTGGTACTGTTATCTGGCCACACCCACTCATACGCCCACCAAGCTCAAAAGACGGTTTTCACATTTTCAAGAAAACCTGATATCTCGGAAACTATAAGTGATAGAAAGTTCGGATTAAACATGTAGATTTTTATGATGCCCCAAATGCGAATTGTTTTTTCCCATCTAGCCACGCCCACCATAACGCCCACAAAACCGCGGAACACTGTGGCGTCTATAACAATATTATGAAATTTATATCTATCGATTTACCAAAGATTTTTCAAATCGGAACATTGTTTCGTTACTTATGAAGAAATTTAGGATACAAGGCCTCACATGGGCAGTGATGTCACTATCAGTTACTCAACATGCTTTCTCCGACAATAGATGGCATCGTGTAAGTTTCCACTAGCAAAATGAATATTTTAAAATTGTGTAAAACAGTAACGGGTATCTTATAGTCGCGGCACTCGACTATAGCGTTTCCTCTTGTTTTTTATTGAGTATTGCTGTTACGTAGTGTTGCTACTAAAAAGTTCATGAAAAATGCTATGTTAAGTATTTTGTGATGTGTAATGGTATAATTTTTAATTAAAAAATTATCTTACATAAATATATATACATTTTGTAAATTTAGAAATCATTACATGGGTTCTGATTTTAATTTATTAAATAATGATTTGTTAAATAATAATTTGTGTACATTCATTTAAAAATATAAGGAATTCCATTTTTATTGGTTTATTTAAAATACTTTGTAAATTTAATAAGTCCTAATCTACAATTCTTATTACAATTACTTATTATTACTGAATTTTATGATTTATAGCTATAGATAAACTGTAATGTGAATTCCAAATTACATTTAGGTTCAGATTATAATCTAATTAATTTAAACAATTTGTTATAATTTCATTAAAGTGATGATCCTTAATTTGTAAGCACTTTTAGTTTGAGTTCTAATTTGATGAGTATGGCTTAAAGTGGTTTTATTCTTTATCTATACAAAATGTGTGCAATAATTAAATTGACTCTACCAATTGATTCGAACTCGAGGCATTCGAAAGATTTGGCCCCTCTAGTTTTGCCTTAAGCTCCTTTGTTAGGGCCAAGTTTCTAAATATATTGGAATCAAGAAAAAAAGCACAGCGCAACATCCGCATAATCACAGAAAAGTCTCTGAATTCCAAACACTTTGGAATGCAGCCCACAAAACGAAAGCAGCTTCAATTGTTAAGAACAGATCTTACCAAATTCCAATAAAAGCAGCTTACAATAAAAAGTGTGAGACGAATGAATTACGGTGCTGCGAAGATAGTAAATGTGGAGTCATTTGCGTTTTATTAAGACTGCGTGAGGGTAAAACATCCCAGTGATGAAAACAAACTTTTGCATTCTTGAAATTCATATTTTTTTTAGTAATGCGTTTCATGCGTTTAAAATCTCTTTATTGGAAATTAACTGTTTCTATATTGAAATACAATTCAACAGTAAATACAATATAACATATTACAATGCAATACAATATAATTCAATTCAACTCCTACAAGTTTATCTCGCATTTGCCAGGGCTAGAATGTATATTTCATGTACAAGAACATTGGCTTTTGAGAAAAATTTAATCGACAGAAATGTCAACGTAAATATCTTTCTACGTCAATAATTATTTTTAGCTGATTTCATGTACGCCAGGTAAATTTAAAAATGTTTTTTATTTTAATTGATATTTTTAAATTATACTTTTGTCGTCGGCGTCTTTAAAAAAATTATATATTTTGAATTGGAAACTTATAAAAAATCACATTAGATATGATCGTGTGATAAAAAATTTGATTGTTGTTATGCCTTGATGCTATTTTCTAATTCAATTTACTTTTATATGGTCCTAGATAATAGTGTGACCCTTTTCATGCTCCATGTTGCATCCTTTAATATTTAATGATGTGTTCATGTATACATTTATTTTAAAATTTTTAAGTGGTTAGAGTATAGAAACTTTTATATATCATTATTTTTCTTTCTTGTATATATTTTTTATTCTAGTTGCTCATTTACTTGATCATATCAATATACATATGTATATATGCAAGTATAGTTCATAAAACTTTTAACAATAAATTTCAGTCGGTCGTTTTGGTGTAAATTATATATACTTAGACTATATAATTACTTGTGATTTTTGTTTTTTATTTTTCTTTCGAATAATTTTTTTATTTTTAAATACTATTAAAAATTGTGTGGTATTTAAAATCAAGTCGCAAAAATCTTTAATTAAGTTAAAAATGCAATAAATGATTGATTAATATACAGGATAAAATAATTTGAATTGAACTGTATTAATATGTATAAAAAAGAACTTTTTCTAGTGGGAATATAAAACAATTTGTATTTGTTCTTTGTTGTTGAGCGGATGTAAATAATAAGGAAGAGTCGCCGTCTGCATTCAGCAATACTTAATTTAAATTAACACCTTCAGCTTATACTAGTCTTCCAGTGGGGCCAATGGAATTTCAGGTACTTTAAAAATCTTATGAATTATTTGGCAAACAACGAGCACATTCGAGACAACTGTATTACTCGTAATCATATATGAATGTTATAAGAAAGCGCACTTGGCGACGTTGAAAGACTCTGGGTATGCGGCGATTTTTCTATTCTAATTTCTTTAAACTAATGTCGTTGTTGTTTCATCTCTGATTTCATATAAGGTTTCTACGATTCCTTCTAGTCACTTCATAAAAATGTATCGAATTTTTGCTATCTTTTAATCAATGTGCTTAAGTTGTAACCGAAGTAGAGCTAGTAGAAGTAGCTCAATTCTCTTCCAGCACTACAACAAGAAATTGTTTTATTGCATTAATGTGCGTAGCTTCGCACTTAACTAAAAGATTTAACTATTACTAAAAAATCAAACATATTCAAACACGTTAATACTAAAAGGTTTTGAAGTCCCAAAAGTGTCTTCTCAGGTTTTTTCCCAAAGAGGGTACCGATAAAATTGTCTTATAATTGGGCATTAAATAATAGGCAATAGGGCAATTTTAGTAATGTTATATCCGCATTTAAAAATTTCTTGATATTATCTTAGTTTAGACACAATTTTGTGAAGCCGCCAATGACTTTTCTGGGTGTATCAAAATCTGGTAGGTAATGCACTTTGAAGGGTTGAAAAGATCATGGTTGGTCGTTTTACTCATTCACATATGCACATACTGAATGTGTGTAATATTTATGTAATCTGAAACCATAACCGATTCGTAGGATGTCCCTTATCTTAAAGGCCTTTGTTCAGAACAAGTTTCGCAATGGGCAATTTTTAAAAGCATCGCTCAGGCGTTTTCTCAACTTGGCTGAAAATATAAACAAGATAAAATCAATTAATTTGTACGCAACTTTTAGTATAAGCATTGAGGAACTTAGAAAAACGGCCTACGAAATTGACATGTTAAACTACATTAAGTGAAATACACAAAAAAATATAAAAATGAAATGGTAGAAGTTGATTTAAGTTTGATTGTTTTTATCCTCGAAGGGAAAGAAGATGAAAGAAATATTATTCCAATTGGATTCTCTTTCATTTTCGGAGGTTATAAAAAGTTGACGTCAGGTGGTGGATTATTATGTGATTGTTGGTAAGACTAATGTTGTGTGGTGAGGTATGGTCTGGAATTGATTACCTACCTTTCCATGGTGATGTAGAAGGCGTTAACACATTAAAATCTTACATATCCTTCGGAAATATATTATTACTTATTTATAGGAACTTACTTACTCTTTCGTTGTCTAATCGAAAGACACCCAGATATACATGTTGTTTAATAAGTGTATTGTAAGGACTGGCAATCCATTCAAACAATTGTTACATTGTCCTTAGTTTTTTTAAAGTCTACAAAAATTAGACAGGAAGTTTTCGGATTTTTTTTACATTGCAATACATGAATGCTCATGAATTGAGGTGTGAACTGTTTTGAACTGCAAGGCAGACACTTGGAGTAGTTAGACATAGATATACAGATCGTTTATGACTGATACAGAGAGATAAGAGAGAGCGGAAGAGAGACGTACACATAGATAGAAAAACATATAGACCAACAGTCATGCCAATTCAAGTTCGCTATATGTATCAGATATCAGGCAGGTAGGGAGTTAGAGTGTAATCAGGACAATGTATTTCGCCGCTTGGAGTGTTAGGTAAGTTATTGGTTACGCCTGATGATAATGGCCAACTCGGAATTAAAACCAAATGTATTATTGTGTTTTCTCATATATATTTATACATATATATTTTTTTATTAAACCTTTTGTTTTTTGTTTGTTTTAATTAAATGTTCAAAGTAACAATATAATTAATCAACTATTAACGATTTTCTTAAGTTTTTGTTAAATTTTTGCTTGTTCCTCTGTAGTGTATAGAACGTCTTTCACGTCTAATAATGACTTGAATGGTATTGTGTTCAACATTATTTTTAATATCATTTTCTGCCGTTTTTTTTTTTATTAAATTCATTTCCCTATGAAGTTACACATATACAGATATATACATATATAGGCATATATATATATATTCATATATATATTTATATTTATTAAGATAACAATGTGTAATTATCTGTGTTTTCGTGAACTTTTTGATATACAATTAATTACATTTTCATTACTACAATACTACGGTAACGTAACATCAACAAATTCAAAAAGAAAAGAAAATCGGCTGAACCATTTAACATTTCAAAAATTTATGATTACGTTAAAATCTTGGGTGAGATTGAGTATGTTTCAATTATTTCTTTTAGCTTTCTTTATATATGTTTATTTAATATATTAAACAATTAAAGTAATGCTCAACTTCATATAAGTATCAGAGGGAAAAACGCAATAGATAGAGTATAATTTAGTTCAACATTTTCAATAGTTATTTTGAAAGCCATTACGTTATAACTTTTTAGGTTCGAGCTTGAAAAGATTTTAGCTAAGAGATCTGGTTTCCGATTTAGTTAAATAGGTAGGTGCGCGATAGGGATAGCAAGTACCTTTCCTTAAGGTAGAATCACCTCTTCTTATCTTTATACATTCGCTACTCATGGTCTAGTCTTCTGAGCCGCGTTAAGGCATTCATTCATTAGTTTGATCGTTCCTAACTTTGTATGGAGCGAGGGGCACTAGGGGATTGCTTAATAAGGTTGACAGAAAGGGGAGTTAAGCCATTTTACTTTATTGATGTCCTACCGAGAGAATGAGAATGTTTTCAAAGTACTGGAAATTGCACAGTAACTGAAAATTGTACAGTCATTTAAAAATTGTGGGTATATTTAACCGCTTTAAACTGCTTTTTTAACGGATCTGTACATTGTTTTATTCTTTTACTGAACTTCATAGCCATTTAATTGCTTGTGACAAATATCCTTGTTTGTGAAATTTTATAAGCGTGTGGATGCAATGGCATTGGTAGGAAGCCTAATCCATATTAATTTACAAAGTTCAAAAATATAGTTGGGAATGTTGGCTAGCAATTGTTATGATCTTGTTCACTTGATACTGTTGTTCATGTAGCTAGCGGTTTTCTGATTTTGCTTCTCTAGTATAGATTATATCTTATTATGTATATATATATATATAGATACTTCTGTGGTAGATGTTCTTGTTGATGTTGTTCTTGTACTGGCTGTAGGCGTTTACTTGTGCTGTTGTTCTGGTTGTTGTTGATGATATTTATATAACACCGAGAGTACATGTCTAAGAGAGACCATCATGTCGTTGTTGTGAAGAATTGGTAGAATTGTTGTTGATGTTATAATTGTTGATATTGTTGTTTTTTCGTGTTGTTGCAAATGTTGTAGATATAAAATTTTTGAGGCATAGTAGAAGTGGCGCAGATTAAATATTCAAAAGAGAGTGTTTTTAAACAAAAGAAGGGGAAGAGAGAGACAACATAGAAAGAGAGAAAGAGAGAGAGAGAGAGAGAGATATATATATATATATATATATGTATGTATAAAATGCAGTGTAATTAAACCATGTATTATTATATGTTAAAGTACATTAACTTTTATTAATTTTAAAAAAATATTCAATTGAATAATTATAGCCGGTTACCCGGAGCACAGCTGTCCTTTCCGAAAAAATATGTATTCTTATATACACGGTTCGTCTAAACTCGGCAATTAAGTGGATAAAATCAAAAACTTATTTCCAAGTCAGGAAGGGCACATTTCATACATGTGCGTATGTGTAATATGATATAAGTCTTTAGATTAAGATAGATAACAAATAAGCCGTTTACGTTACAAATCGCATGCAAACTGAAATCCACTTGCACTGGATTGTCTCTCTCATAGACAATTTCACGGAAACCTGATAGCAGCGAATGGTGCCGTCGAACATAAAAAGTGCCTCGGTTTAAAACAGGGACTGCTCGTCTTATTGTACGTACATTCATGCATACAATAATGCGATTTGTACCTTAGAAAATATCAGTGAACTACAGTTAGAGACCCGTATATCAGTATATACAATTTTGGTGACACCGAATAGTTTTTCTGAGCGGAGTTTTTGAGTATGTGGGAGTAAACATGTATCCAAGTATGTTTATACCTTTTACAAACGAATTTAGTGGATAATCAGTGCAAAGGGGTAGGCTCGCTCTTGGAATTGTAAAGGTTACTTGTTGGTGTATTTCGTAAGCTTTGGTATCTTTGATTTTTGTGGCCGACTTGCATGCATGTTTCCCTTTTGTTATATGCCTTGATGGTTTAAACTTATCAATTTTCAAAGAAAATCTATGCTAAATGTATCACAGCATTATGCTCTAGAACTGCTTAGCATATCTTATAAGCTATTGCTTTGTCTAAATCGTTACAGCTATAATTTTGCCGTTAAGTATTGTTGTACAATACTTTCTGCGAAATAGCCTTAATAGAATCAAAACGTAACCGTTATGAATTCAAATAAGTGGGAAAGGAAACTTAGGACCGGTATTTTTTTATATATCAGTAGTTTAAGGTAATGTATTAAAAGGAATATAGTAATCTCATTTACTTACATTTCAGAAGCATCAATCATTTTTCAAAGAGTTAGAAATTCTCAATTGTAGTGTAGGTATGTTGTTTGTATAAGAAAGAAACAAAATGTAACAGCTATTAAAGATCTTTTGTTTCGAATTTTCCAAAACAAATTGACATAAAATTGTTTTTTAAACTTTTTCTTTCCAGTTGTTAGTACACAATTTAAAGAATCAGCAATAATATCTCCAGTCAATTTGCTTGCAATTATATTATTTTACTCTTGGTTAAACTCATTAAATTTACATATATACATAACAGGTGAGTATATATTAAAATGACGATTTCAACATATTCGCCGATTTAGTTTAAATTCTTTCTATAGATGGATTTAAATTCTTTCTATATTTATAGATGGATTTAAAGTCCAAGGCGATTTCAGCAACATACTTTGACGGTCCGACATGAACGACATAGCAGCCTCCTCTCTCGCACCAAATGTTTTATATTATTTTATTTATAATGCCAATTAAGTATTTCAATAGTATTTCAGTAGTTATTTTAAATGTATGTTATTAACCAAACAACGCATATGTTTTGTAGATTGGGTTTAAGTATATTATATTGTTATTGAAGCAAAGTGATTTGAATATTATGTTCACTATAGTTGGGCTTTAAATAATTTGGCTGATGGTTTAGCTACTTTAAAATTCATTAGGAGTTCAAAGTTCCACATTTTTATTTCGCATATCTGCTTCGGTTCTGATTATAGGTGTCACCGATTGAGTGACTTATTGTTTAATGTGTTCTAAGTTGCTGCCGGGTTACAGGTATGCTCTAGCTTTGCAATGTTTTTATTCGTTTTAACAGATTTCATGTTAATAATTCAATTTCAAGTCCAGGTTAATCATGATCCTTTTATGGGTAAATGTTATCAGTATTATTTTGATTTTACCATTATATTTATTTGTTTTTATATTATGATGACTGACATATCACTGCATGACACATTTTCCCTCTATTTGAGTTTTTAGCTCATTTACTTGCGTTTCTATTTGATTTTTCAGTTCTGTAAAAGAAATTGAGTATGGAAACAGCAATAAATAAGCATATTTTGTAGAGTAGACTACAAATGTTTGAGATGTTAACTGGTATGTATATGTATTTATTAATGATCTTGTACTGTAACTGGGTAGCTGTAACTATTATGTGTGTAGTAATTTTATAGTTAAACAATAAATACCGCGGAAGGTTATCGTTCTTGTACAAGTATAAATCTTAAAAATTAAAACAAGAAAGCATTTATTAAGAAATTATTCGTTTTGTTAGCAGTAAGGGCAACGTCACAGTTAAAGTTCGACTAATTAAAGTTTAGTTATAGTTATATTAGATTGATAGAGATATAATGACAAATATATAGAATTTGGTGCAGAGAAAATACACATACATATGCAGTATATGAGCAATATATATATTTCACATATGATTTCCCATTATGTAAAATGCATATAGTACGCACATTGAAGGAGAAAGTAAACGAGAGGGAAAAAGTTTGGTATTTGTATCTCGTCCATTTATGGGTAATATTTTTTAGTATTTCGTTTATATTTGGTTTATATTTACTTTGTTATGAGTTTAAAGTTTTAAAATGCAGTTCCATATACAAATAGAAGGTTTTTTTAGTTAGATGTAAAATGATTCTAATAAAAGTGCGTTTCGTGAGATTAATATTTAAAAAAAAATTATTTGATATAAAAAAACAGTCCCTAAAGTATCTGCTCTAACCTAACTAAATTTTAAATTTGATTTTAGAATAGTTATTTATGTTTAATGCACCCTTTTCTGAGGGCGGCTTGTCACTTGGTGATTCAGATTTGTCTTTTCAAGCTCTGCATTCCAAGTCTTATTTAGGGGGAATAGAAAGTAGTAGTAAAAAAAATGGTGGTGTGGGTGGCGGAAAAGTAGTTCTTGAATACAAATGTACCACAACAATTTTACCACACAAACATAATTAAAAGTTTTTACAAATAATCACACTTACCTTATTCTATTTATTTGAATAATATAAAACCTAATTACAATTAATTCGTCAGCTAAATCCAATCAATTATTTTCATCGTTTACCCATATATAAAAATGTATACAAATGTATTCAATAAAAAGTAAAAAAAAAATTTTAAGCATATACTTCCTTATATAAATACTGCCTAGATTTCTCTGAGACTTTCTAATTTATATAGTAATGTTTAGATTAAGCTGGGAAATTGAGTAAAATTAAACAAGTAAATGATGTGCACGCTTGTTATATAAATATGGTTTTGAAAATGTTTATATTCGTCGTTGCATTACATTTCAAAAAAATATCTTAGATAGATAGGGTTGCAGTTAGAGATAGAATAAGCATTACGTTTGGTTGTTTGATTGCATTTAGATAAGAAATACACACAAATAAACAAACAAAATCACAGTTACTAGATACGAGCTCAGTACATTAATTAGATCATATTTATTTGGTTTTTTTATGGTTCTGGCTTTAATAGTTAGTCAACTTGATTAGGTACTGTTTAGATTTGCAAAGCCTCTCGTAAACTGCTGGCATAGTAATAGGTAAAAAACTAAAAGCAAATTAAAATAGTGAATCTAGTACTGTTACAGAATAGGAGCAATCGGGGCAGACTCGAAGGCTTGTTTTATTGGTAGGTTAACTTGCTGTATATAAGATGCCAGTCGCTGAGCAAAAGGTTAACAGGAATCGACAGCGACAGCGACAACTTACTTGTAAAATCGTCTAGCTCTTCTTGCTCCGCTTCGGCGGCGAGTTCTTCGGGCGTCTTCTTTTTCCTCATTAGGGGATTGGGCTCTTCTTGTGGTGCCGCCTCTACGATTTCCTCCTTTTTCTTAATGTTGTACTGAATGAATAATGTGAGGTTGGCAGATCAACAGATTGATTAGATCGTTGAACATTGGTTATAGTGTAATTTCTAATTAGATAACACTTTTAAGAACTGCTCCTTTGTTGTTTGCTCCTTTGAAATTCAATCTGACTCCGTTAGGGAGTCGCTCGATATAAGGACTCCCTACTAGAGTCAATTTGAACAGCGTCAGGATTTGTTATCATCTATATCAGATACAGGACTTATTTTATAGATCACATTCACGGTATTTGTGCAGATGCCACAGTTCCGAATTACCCACCTTATCGCGAATATCTTGTCTCATCTTCTCGCGCTCTTCCTCCATTTTCCGGTGCTTTTCTTTACGCCGGTCCTCGGCCTCTTTAATGGCTTCCTGACGCTCTCTCTCCTCCTCCTCTGCCTTTTCTTTGTCGTCGCCATCATCGCCTCCATCACCACCTACAGCGCCTGCGTTAAAAATAAAATTATTGTTTTAAAATTTAAGTAAGAATTTTAAAAAATACGTCATGTAAATCTTAGCGCGTAAAAAACTTAGTTAAAACTCGAAGGTGATCAATTTAAAACAAGAAGAAACGTTATAGTCGAGTGTCGCGACTATAAAATACCCGTTACTGTTTTATAAATATTGTGTGTTGTTAGTGGAAATTCACAAAGTGGCATCTATTGTCATAGAAAGCATGTTGAGTAACTGGTTGTGACGCTGCTGGCCATGTAAGGCCTTATAACATATATTTCTTCACAATTTCGCCACAATTTTCCGCGATTTGTGGGCGTTAGGGTGGGCGTGGCCGGATGAAAACTCTCATCGAGTTGCAGTGGTATCTCTGAAATACGTATTCTTAAGCACAATTTTGTAGCTCTTATAGTTTTATTTTGAATTTTTGGTTTTCCGGTTTATGTGGGCGTTAGGTCATAAAAACCTACATACTTAAGCAAAACTTTCTATCACTCATAGTTACCGAGAGATATCAGCTTTTTTACAAAATGCGAAAACCTTCTTTCGAGCTTGGTGGGCGTAACAGTGGCTGTGGCCGGATAATGGTACCACCATAAGATGCGCTGGCATCTCAAGATTATACATACTTCATATTAACTTTCTAGCTCTAATAGCTTTTGCGTTTTTAGCGATTTTAATTTTTCGTTATATGTGGTCGTTCGAGTGGGAGTGGCAGGATGCTGAAATAAACTTGCGCTGCATAGGGAGCTCAAGAATCTTCATGCTTAATCTAAACTTTGTATCTTTTATTCCTTTAGATCTCAGCGTTCATACGGTCGGACGGACGGACAGACGGACATGGCTCAATCGACTTCGCTATTGATCGTGATCAAGAATATATACACTTCATAAAGTGGGAAGAGCTTCCTTCTATCTATTACATACTTTTCAACGAATCTAGTATACCCTTTTACTCTACGAGTAACGGGTATAAACACACAAAGCTCGACATTTTGACTCGTTATCGCCTACTGGGTTATCATTTCGTGATTTTCATATTCATTCCAGTGCCACTTTCGGGGACAGGGGAAAACGAATGGAAACGCGATTATTTGGGATTTAGAAATAGCATTGGCCGCCCAAGCGACTTAGTGTGTTTGAGAAGAGGTCTGAAAGCTGATGTGCGGAAGTGTGCCGAGTCACTAGCAGCGACCCTTGGCATTCCGACCTCCGAGCAGAAAATCAAGGCCTAGTACCTTCGACATAAGCGGTGTACAGTGGTGGATTTATTTCAATTCGAGTGGCCACAGAATCAGCACTGAACTAAAATGCTCTCGATTGTACTAGCTATTCTCTTAATGGCTGTCATTGCTTGCGGCCAAGATTCCCAGACAAGGGAGAACGACCTGCTGACATTTTCGTACAAGCTCGAGCAGTACCTGGATACAAGCAAGCAGCCTTGTCAGGACTTCTACGGCTATGTCTGTTCGCGCAGTGCCAATCTCAGCCAGACAGGAAGGGAGAGATTGCAAAGCTTGCTCAAGGAAGTGGAAGTCGCTCAATTGATGGACATGGAACTCCAGTTGGTTAACTTCTTCAAGTCCTGCGAGAATGGACGCGGCATAGAGGCGCTCAAGGCGTCGCAGCTGTTTAGGCTAAGTGGGGGTTGGCCTGTCCTGGATGCCAATAAGGTTAACGCCAGTCAGCGGTCAAACCAGGCCCAGAGTTGGACAGCTATTCTCGGGTACTTTCACGAAGTGGGAGCTCCTTACTTTTTTGAGGCAGTAGTAACCATACAGTCAAACAAGCGGCTCGTTGTGTTGCAGCCCGATTCCACGCACCGCAACACTTTAAGAAAGTTTGAGCAAAGAGTAAGCGAGGTCCTGCAGAGCTTTGGAATCGAACAAAGCCGCGCCCACGTAACTGCCCTTGAAGTTCTCAGCTTGGAGCGCAGTCGTAGGGACATTGTAAATGCGGAGCATATAAAGGACCAGGTGGAGTTCAGCTACGGCAATTTTAAGCGCATTGCTTTTGAAAATTCCACGTCGGCCAAAGTAGACTGGGATGGATACTTTCGGAAACTGTTGGGCGGAAAAACACCCCAGGCTAGTGATACGATAGTAGTCAAAGAACTTCCTAGATTGATTGAATACATCGGGTTGCTCCAAAATACCAGCATGATTCGGTTGCTCAACTGGATCTGGACGGACTATTTAATGGGTAAGTTTCCCAAGAATCCCAGTATCTTACTCAAAACGGAAAATATTAATTCTACTTTAGGGTGTAGTATAACTGTGGCTGGTTTTTTCTTCATAATAAAATAACTTGTTCAGTTTTTTTTTATTAAGATGTGCACTTCCTTCTTTTAGATATCGTGGATGCAGACTGCCATCAGTTGGCAGAGACTTATGCAGGCGACGTTTACGCTCATGTAAAGCAACGGGTCACAGTAAATCGACCCGAATTGGCTCAAATGTACTCTACGCTGGGAAAAGCGTACGTGAACCAGCTGGTCGGCAGTGTGTGGATTGATGAGATCTCACAGCAGAGCTCAAAACAGTTCTTAGGCACCGTCATGCATCTAACCCTTAATGGAGACGAACGCTTGAACGCCGCATACCACGAGATCTTGCTTGGCCGTCGGAGCCTTTATCGCAACCTTGAGAAGCTCCGTAAGTTCCAACGTCTCAAGCATCCGCCCTCACAATCCAATCAACAGGTGCGCCGGTACGGCCAGGTATTTTCTGCGGTTAGTGCTCTTTTAGGGCAAAGCCACCTGAGTACACCTCTCAACTACCTTCTATTAGGTGAATTCTTTTCCCGAAGTCTTGTAGCTGCCGGTAGCAGCTCTCGCACACCGGGCGCGTGGCGAGGCTCAGACTCGGAGTGGCGATTCAGCAACTTTCAATCGTGTGTCGCAGTAAAGGAGAGTGCAAACGACGTCCTTCTTGGCCTCCTATCTCAAAGGCAAGCACTGAGTGAGTACCAGCAGTGGCTATCTACCCGAAAGACGTTTCACGAGAAAATGGACGAACTTCTATCCGCCGGACGAACTAAGATGACCCTACTGAAACTCTTTTTCGTGGGTAGCCTGCTCGTGGATTGCCACCCCGAGCTGGACATCTCTGAGCAAGATTACAAGCGACAGGTAACGCACGCCAAGCTGCGCAACTCGAAGGAGTTTGGAGAGGCCTTTCAGTGTCGCCCCGGTGAAAGCCTCTATCTGCAGCACCACCTCTGCAATCCCTTCTAGTGTCGGACCTTGATGCGATTGTGCTAAAAATCGATAGAAAGTGCTTGTAACTACTGCAGGTCTCTCTTAGACCAACCCCCAATCGATTGATTTTTTTCCTTCCCACTACACACATTTGCACCCTACGGCCACGAACCCAACTTATTTTTCCAGATAGGTTACGTTACGTATGAGCGATTAAGATACAAAATAAACGATTAGATTTTCGCTTGCAATAACTTACATGGGACACAATTGCAGTGAGAGTTACAACATTTTGTGTTTTGGCGAGTTGAGGAGTAGTTTGGTTGAGTGGTGGAAACGTGTTGTTGAAAGGGAAGAAGACGAAATCAATGAGTTCGCCGCTGACGTTGTAAGGCAGTGCTGGAAGGCAGACTGTGGCTTAGACATGAACTAGGCTTCTTACCGATGAAATTCATGATTTCAGGGCGCTTTTGGCCACTGCTATCTGTCCGTCTTCGAGTTTTGTGTTCTTCGCCTTCTTCCGCGTTTTCTTCCCGAGCAGATACAACCGTTGGGTGAACCGTTACTAGTACTACTGTTCACAGTTTCAGCCAGGAGCTGCACTGTCTGCGAGCCACTGATTCGGCCGCAGTCGTCGTGCCGTCGTTTCCATGGCCATCTTAATCAATTCAAAGCCCGAAGTGCTGTGCGAACGCGACCACGAGTTAAAGTGAACTGAGCGAAGGAAAAAGTCTCGACAGGCGCACAGAAAAGGACAGGACAGATGAACTTTAGTCGCAGCTGGGCGAGCCCCGAGTAGGAGTGTTGGCAGTCTTGGCCCTGTCTTTTATGTCCTGACGACGTGAAAATTTCCGCGGTCGCGTCGCAGTTGGCAATGGACCGAGCAGAGATCCCAGCGTCACGCAGTCACGCGCTTGCGCTGTTCCACTATATTGAGTTCGACTCGGATCCCAATTTTGGTTTGGGCATGACTGCGATGAGCAGCAAGTCCGCTTCACTGTTCAGTGTAATGGCATTTTTTGTGGGGCGACAGAGACGGCGAAGGCCCGCCGCTCTTGAGCTTTTCTCTGGACCATTGGGTAGATAGAGAACGAAGTCAGGGGATGTGGAATACCCCAGTTGGCTCATTGTCGCTTCGCTAGGTTTCCCTCTATCTCTATCTTTATTTATTTCTAGCACACCTTCTTTCTATCTCTTTTATATATATATATCCATTTCTCTCTTGCCGGGTGCAAAAGGCATCGCACATTAAATAGAATTTATAGTCATACATTTGCTAAATAGCTCTGTGAATGATTTTTTTAGAGTGACTGTGGCATGACTTACAGACGCATTTATTGATTTCATAAAATAGTCAAAGTATTTCCGACCGAAATTCATATTTCTTGCTTCTCATTGTGTGTGTCTTGCTAACTCACACACGGGAAGATACGAATGCCATTGCGAATGTGACTGCCATTTTAAATAACTTGTCCCCTGAAGTTGTTGGTGAATTTTCCCTCCAGTTACAAATTCAAGATGACCCTTAAATTAACCCATAATTAAATTGAAACTAATCAAGCCTTTTTCATGCCAACATAATTAACACCATTGAAAAAGGGGTCACTTCCCATCTCCATATTGTCTAAGCACTGTACTCCCTTTATTTTTCTTAATTTTCTCTTGTTGGCCTCCACACTGGAATTGGACAATCCGTTAGCCAGATTCATTGATGGCTCTTTAAAGCTGGGAAGACTTATATTTAACATGAAAAATGCTTCTGACAGGCAAAAAAATCTGCCGTACAAATAGGTTGTTGGTTCATGAGTTTTTGCCTCCATTAATTTTATTTTGCTGCCGTTAAAAGCTTTACGTTCCTTTTCGTGTCCTGGGCGAAATAAGGGTATTTTATTTCTATCTGCTACTAGGAGCTGTATGGGGTGGCTCTTTGGGGTTGAGCGCGTACTGCCGTCACTCAGAATATCACAAAGCTTTCGTTTAATACATAGGTCTGATATACGAGACACAGTTTTTGGATAAGCCATAGAGAGAGTTTTATTTTTTCCGCTGTTGTTTTGAATGCCAACCCATCAGAGCAACCGAATAATGAATACGTTGGAAAACGCGGCCGCAAATCTAACGGGGCGACCCCAAAAAGCAACTGCCGAGCCAGCTCAATCATAAGTATAGGGATAAGCCTCAACCGAGTCGGACAGGATAATGTGCTGGAGTACGTGGTTGGGTGATAATACATGCTCGTCGAGAAATGCAACCTTACAGTTCTATTTCCATTTTTATTGCGGAAATGGAGAGTGGGAATAGCGTGGTCAAATATTTTTTGCACACTTGCCTTCTTTGTTTCGGCTGCATTATTTTTCGCTGCATCTCCGCTAAGAATATCCACGAACAGCAAATTATTTTTTAATCAGGTAACGGACAATGGCCTAATCTCATATAAGAGATCTCACCTTTCAGCTAATGTTTTTATTTTTATAGTCGTTAACATTAAAAGGCCCGATATTAACTAAGTCTTAAGGGTGTGAGTGGTTAAGTAAGAAGACATGGGCGTGTGTAAGTGTTGAAATTATGCCGACGCTGCGCCTTTGTCTGAAGCGAAACGCGAAGGGCTCTTGGTTAGGACGGTCACGACTTTCTTTTATAATGCCCCCAATTAGTCGTGTGCCTCCTCTATAGTCGTGAAAACATTTCTCTTCTACATCTACTTAGAGAGCATTTCCCAAGCAGATCAGAAATGCGGCGACATGCCAGCAGAGGACAGAATTTTCAAAAATGCAGAATTGCGTATTGTGCGGTGATACCCATAAGCAAATATTTTGGCCTGAATTTATCCGGAGGAATCAAGGAATTTTTAATATACATAATTTATGCATATTTTTTATTCTGACAAGCTATGCTATGTATGTATATACTACACTGCCTTAATTAAATCGTTTACGGGTCGATTATTCTTATTCCTTAGTAATATTGGCTTAAATATAATCTTGAATTATTTCAAAACACTACGTCAGATGTGCCTTAAATTCAGCTATCGCAGGGTTCCCTACTATTTGGCAAGAATATAAAGTGGAATTTCTCAAGAACTTGTGTAGATTATAAATATTTTCTAATAGTCATATGTCAGAATACCTGCCACTTCTACGGATAAATTTAGCAACGGGTGTGTGTTGATTGGGCTATTTTTATTGGGATCTTTGCAACTTCGATGTTAACTAGTAGAACTAACTAGTGTATACAATAACACTCTTGTATTATGTTTAATATGTATTAAATATTCTTTTGTTTTCTATGTTGTTCTTAAATTACATTTTGTTAATTTTTTTTAGTATATACTTTTTACTCATACTTTACCTCATTGTAAATTCGTAGTATATAAGTTGTAGTTGAGTTGTAATTAGAGTAGTTATAGTAGATAGTAGAAGATGTAAGTAGTTTTGTAGTTAGTATGGTTCCATAATGGTGTAAGTAGTACATAGCAGTAGTAGAAGAAGTTCAATAGAAGAGTAGTAGTAGAAGAAGTAGATAAAAAACGTTTTAAAAAACAATTTTTGCGGAAAGCTGGAGTTTGAGGGTAAGAGTATCATTCGTATAACACAAAATTAAATTTCTAGAACTAAAAAATAGCGTCGAACCAAATATAATTCATTTGATCCCTAATTAGACTAGTGTTCTTGAATTTTTAACCTAAAGAAATCATGTCTTGTGAACAATTTCGGTAAGTGAGTTGAAGAAAATCTAATATTACTAAGTTTTAATGAACTGTCAAATCAATCAAGCGCGTAAATTCGTTTGAATTTCTTTTCTTCTTCTTTTCTTTTTATTTTTCATCTATTATTCTGAAAATTTTCAATTATTTGCAGAATAAGTTTTGGGGAATAAAAAGAAAGAGAACGAAATGGCTTTTGATTAATCTTATATAGTGTACTGAAAACGAAGGGGTTTAGCTGTTGGTTACTACCAACTGAACGGATGCACGTATTGAGACTGGTGTAAACTATAATTTATAATTTTTAGTATATAATGGCATCAATTTGGTACTAATTCTAGTGGAAATGCATGTCCAATAAACTCGGTATATCGACGATGTTAATTACTTCATGGCTAAGTCATAAAAGATTTTTTTTACAGATAGTTGAATAATACAATAAGGTAAGTAGAGAAATTACCACCTGCAGCATCTGTCAAGCGTGTGGCCAAGGAAGTAAAGGAAGAGTTTTATTAATATTGCACTCTGTTTAGATTTACTAAGACGCTTAATAAAATATTTTTAGGAATTTTAAGTTAAGTATTAGTGAATAGTTGCACATATTTTTAATGATAGAAGTTCAATAAGTATAAAAGTTCTCTGTAGAGATAGCAAACTTGGTGATAAATAAAATGGCTGGGATTGAGGACAATTGTCCACGGAAGAATGTTGTATGTAATATGACAGAACTGGTTTGATTGACCATATATCCGGTTCAAGTTCAAATTTTCGTAGCTTTGGAAGTTGAGGTCATGTATCAGGATTGGCTTGGGAGAAGCATATATAAGAAGACGAGAGTTGGTATTAGTGTAAAATTCAAATAGAAGAAACTGAATCGTGTTTTCTGTATGTTATTATTTTTGTATTGGTTCTTGTCATTCGAGGTGTACTTTCTATTTCTGTCGAGTTTTTACTGTAGCTGGAAGTGGGCTTAGTGGGAGAAGGTTTGAGTGAAGATGTGGGCTGTTGTCAAAGAGTGGAACTCTCCCTCATATTGCTGTGCACTTGGTAGTCGTTCTGTGTGATTGGCAGGGTGTGTTTGTCAAGCTCTTGTGTTTGTATGTTTTACAATGAGGTAAAGTTCGGCTGTGAAGGCATTCTAAGAATGAACATATATGTATATAAATTATTTTGGTTTTGTTTTCGGTGTGCGGCTGGGTGGGACTATCACTCGGGAGAAATTTTTCATATGTGCTGTATTTTAGGTATGTTTAGTTACACTGGTTACGATAACTTTATTATATTAATGTTTTGAGAAGTCTAAGAGTAATTACATTTCGTTAAAAAATAATTTAATCTTGAGAAAAGCAAATGTCTAGATATTGAAGATATTTGATATTTTTTAGCAACTAATGGCTATGCTCCACTTATGATTTCAAATCCAGTATCTTTTGAAAATAAGCTTTCGACTATATTTATATTTTTGTACATTAAATAAGTATTCCTCAATATCAATACATTCGGAGGTAAGTGTATACACCGCTTTGTACATATGTAACTCTCCACCTCCTAGTTATTTTGAAGGAACACTGCGTTTTCTTATCGGTTTTATCAATTTAATTTAAAAAATTTGTATGTAAGTTAATTAATTTTTTCCCGGTTATGAGAATATGAGATTTATTTAAAAGCTAGCGCCATATTAAGAGGTTCAAAACTTTCAATGTACAGGGATAAGCTTATGTTAGTCATTTTTAAATTACTTTTATAGGGATTTTAGTCTTAAACGTATTATTACTATTCGTACATTTTAATAGTTTATTCATGCTGTTGCCAATAAATAAAACCTAGTCTCTATTCAAAGCAGGCACAGAAGCGGTGAATTGTAAATAGGTAGTGCCACAAAAACAATGCTTTAAACTATAAAAGATTTAATTATTGTTAATGAATAATTTAATAATGGGTTAGATTTTTTTAATATGGTAATGCAGATAATGAGTGGGTTGATTTATCAGAAACTTACACACTTTATTTATAAGACAGTCAATTTTTTTTTAACGCTTACCTGGAAAAAAGTAAATGTAATTAATATTCTCGAATATCATAATAACATATAGATACCAAATTATTTATAAATATTTACAAATATTCAACGAAAAGTTATAACAAATCCTTAAAATATCTTTATCCAATATATCCTATATCCAATAGGAATAAACCGTGAAGCGAGCTAAAGTTAATTTCTGGTTCAGAGTGCAAATAATTCAAGTAAAGGTTTTCGCAACCCACTACGATCTAAGCACAACTCGCAATCAACATCTATAAATCATATTTTGAGTGGATTAGTACTGAAAAACCTCTTGCGCTGGAACCAAACCGCATACATACGAGGTGTGTTCAAAAAGTAAGGTGACTCTTCAAATTTCGCGAATTTCAAATTTTTCGATTATCGATTTTTTTGTTTTGTTATATTGGTACACTCTTCCCTAACATCTGTACCAAGTTTCAATGGAACATCCTCTTTTGTTTGGTTGTGAGAGGCGTAAAGTTACAAGTTGTTTTGCGAGCTCGGCGATTTTTTGCTATCGAAAAATATGGATCAAAGGATTTGGATTTTTTGGCCAAAAACAACACCACAATAATGCCTCAGCCACCATATTCACCGGATTTGGCCCCATGTGACTTTTTCTTGTTCCCAAAACTGAAGATAATCGAAAAATTTGAAAAATTTGAAATTTGAAAAGTCACCTTACTTTTTGAACACACCTCGTATAACTTCTAAAAGGTTTCGATAATCGAAAAATTTGAAATTCGCGAAATTTGAAGAGTCACCTTACTTTTTGAACACACCTCGTATACATATATCTAATCAATTTATATACTTTTATGGGTATATATTATTTCGCTTTCATCCCTCACGCGTTTTTTATGTTGAGCATTAAGTAGATGCTATTCTGCATCGTTGGCACTTTTAAGTAATTGCTAAAGGCCAAAAGAAGAAGGTGCCTAAAACAGTATCTTATGCAGCCTTCCTCTATAATGACAATATTTTATACAGGTTTTCAAATATTCTTTCTTTCTGACGACTCTAGAACCTATTGGTCAATCGTACTAAGCGCCATCTCGAATTGTGCCGTGACTGACACCTAATAAGCAGATTAAGTGGCTTGAATTGGCTCTGAATTCTGCCCCGGCAACATCTATTCTTCTTCCTCTTCTTTTACGGCTCCCAATTCAAAAAAAGTGTGAAGAATGTGGAGACCGTGTGAGGTGAGAGCAAGAGACTGTGACAAATTTAGCATCAATCTACACATTATATAGTATATATGTTCACCACTTTCCTGCGCATTCGTGCAGAATGTCTGCGTTTGATAAGAGGTCTAGCAATTGCTTTTGCCCAGCTCAGCTGCGCCTTTTGGGATTGTGGTTGGACCAATCGTTGGAGAGGAACTGTAAATCGAACAAGTGGATGGGTAAGTGGAGCTACATTATGTCACATGTAAATACCCAGTCTCTAAAAGGGCCCATGTGTTGCCGGTCGATAAGAATTTCAACTTAAATATTCTCGCCCTCGACTTAGCTCTATTTTCCCTTTGAAAGTATTCGATGATTTTCCAAACGATTGCACAACCGCTGATTATACAGTGGCGGCATTGTAATTCAATGACTTTACCCAATGTGCCGGGCTGAAGATATGGATGAGAATGAGAAAGTGGGGGCGGGAAAGTCCTTGTTGTGTATCTGAAAACATTCCCCGCCTTCATGTATGCTAAATTTTTTTTTTGCGCAGCAGCTTTACATGAGATATACATATTCATGTACATATTTGAACGTTCAAATCAAAGTTTATTGATCGGATGCCAAAAATAAAATGCTCAGGGGTGACTTGCGACTAGCTGTGTTCGATGCGACTTACCTTTAACGGCACTTAATTGGTTTCCAACCATCTGCTTTGCTATAAAGGCCGCCATATTTGGACTGTTGTTCTAGAGGAGTTGCTTCTGTTGGGTACTTCGACTAAAGAATTTGCTTGATCTCTGACGTTTACGCTTGATTTTACGTCTGTAAGCTAAGAGCAACAGAGTAAAGATAAAAGATAAAATTAATTTAGTGTGTAACTTAATACAAGACAATGGAGTGCCCCGTCATCTGGGCCAACCTTCCGACTTTACGGGATAAAATTTTGCCAATAGCTCTTGAATGACATCACATTTCATTAATTGCAGCCGTCACAAATGTTTTACAAGGTCAAACCTAAACATAAATTTTAATATTATGAATGCTACTTTTGGTTTGTTAGAGTGGGCATGAATAAAGCCACCTTAGGAAGTGCTGGCATCTCAAGAATATGCACGCTTAGTCCTAACTTTCTAGCTCTTATAGATTCTGATCTCAGCGGAATGTCAGACGGAAAGATGGATTGGATTTTCATCCTGATCAAGAATATATTATATGTCGGAAACGCTTCCTTCTACCTGTTACATACTTTTTAACAAAGAAAAAGGTTATATTACTCTACAAGTTACAGGAGGTTAAAGGTTTAGTACCAACAGAAGATTGCTCCGCTCCCTTTCTAATTACTTAACCATTGGCAATAGATAAGGTTGACTCGACCTATATATATATAATGGTTATGGTTATTAAACAGTTAGTAAAAAGCCAGCCAGTTTTTGGCCATCGGAATTAAATATACTTCAATACCATCTCAGAAACTTTTGAAGAATCCTAAGATTGAGCTTGGAGCTTTTTATCGACGTAAAGCACACTACGCGCAAAAGGGGCAAAATAACTTTTCGCAAGTATTCGAAGTTAAATGTATACGTTAAAATATGAAGAATATTGTGGAATATTTTCGGATTGCTAGGCCACTCACTTACCTGGCCTTAGTTCAGTTACGAATCCTCTAATATTTTCCCTGCAGGTTCCTGTAAAGTTCAAAAATTGTCTGCGTCAAAGCGTTTTTATTTTCAGGAAATCCACGGAGAAGAGCGGGCATTAGGCGGACAGGATTTCTGAAATGAAAAAAAAGGTAGGGTTGACAGTTTTGAGTTTTCCATCTATATTTTTGGCGCTAATTTAAAACAAGAAAAAACCTAGTTCAGAGCAGCGACTGTTAGATGTTCGTTACTTTCTATACAATTTTAAAATAAAAATGATACCAGCAAGTAACATGTTATATAATTTCAATACGCTAACTGCTGGTAAAATCATAAACTGATGTATTTTTCGAAACGTGCGCAGAAATTCCTAGTACAAGTAAGCTAAGGCCGACTTTCTAGCTCTATTAGTGGTATACAGAAAAACACGTGTAGAGATGGACTGTCCACACACTGGCTATTCCGACCGGGAATATAGAGCTTTAATACTTTACAATAAATACACTATATTCTAATATATATCTACAAGTATGAATAGCAGACACGCGTGGTATTTCGTGTCGTCGCTGTTATTTTGTCGCCATGCCCTTTGCTTTTTTGCTTTTATCAATATTTCTTTATTAGGGTTTTTTTATGGGAGCGGTCACGTAAGAGCCTTTTTTATGTCTTTGTAGTGAATGAAATGCGGGTCCGCAAACAAAAAAAAAAATTCTTTACGTAACTCAAGCAGCAAGCTCAATCAATTGAATTTCAAGTGCTGGGCTTTCCAGCTCAGAAAGAATTCCTTTGGAGTTGATTGAGTCTCGTTTTTTCAATTATTACATAAAGTTGCGCTCGCACTAGAGTACTCAGTTAACTGGTCAAGCAGTTCGCTCGTTAAAATAAATTATTTTCATCGTTTTAGATTTTCATTCGTGCCGGGGACTCTTAGTCAACTGTTAAATACCACAAAAGGCCAGTATCGCTATACGAATATATGATACCTATGTGTATGTTTGGCCCCTATATACAATCACACTCGTTGTTGGTGTGTTGTGTGCAGTGTGTGTGTTTTATACTTTCCCACTATGTTTCCACTTTTCACCTAGGCCGCCGATATGTTTTATTCAACGCTTCTTACTTCGTGCTATGCTTGCACTCTTCTGCACGCCACTGTCGAGTTCCCTATATGGAAAACTCGGTTCGACCCCGTGGCACCGCTTTAAAAACGATGTATCAAGGCGTCGGCGTCGGCAGCAACGAGGACGGCGACTGCGGCCTCAAAATCCGATACAGAACCAGCAAGGGGTGGAGCTTTGGCCCTTTCCAATATTTCGTGGGCTCGGAATGAGTGCTTTCGTCGCCCGAGCTGCCGAGCGGGTACGAGCGGCACCTGGATTTAAATAAAGAGAAGAACACCAAGGCTTGTTTTAAGGTAGAACCCTTAAGGCGCGAAAGTCCTACAGCAAAAATTGTTGCTGTAGACTTATGGGACTGCTCTCTCTACGACTGTAGGACTAGAGAACTTGTCCCCCTGCACAGTGTTCTGGCTTTATATAACTCTAGTTGGTTTTTTGCATCTCACTATGATAAATAATATACTTATCTGCTTCTACTTCTTGTCTGTTACATAATTAAATTTCTTTCTCTGTATACCTCTCTTGACAATTTGACTTTGAAATAACCAGCCGAAAGCATTGTATACATTTGTGCGCTGGCGCCTGCGCCGAGTGCACTTGAGGTACTGTATTGATTTCACCAATAGTAGTATGCGTAATTTGGCCAGCAGGCCCTTCTGATAAGAAGCTAGTTCAGTCATTATCATCTCTCGGAGACAGCCCTAGAAACTTCGCAGCCCTTGCATTCACACCAGACTTTATCGAATCATACACATCAGCCTTTGTTCTCATATCAGTTGACATTCCAGGTTTTTTATATGTACGATAATGTGTCAAGAGCATAAACAGGGACTGGAAGCGCAGAAAAGGAAAGAACTATAAAAAAGGAAATTGCACGATTCTGGCCATGGCTGCTCTTCCGTCAGCCCGCGAGTCGTGGTCGACATTGTCGTGATAGTGGGGTTGTCTTGCGAAAACTAATTTTCCATGGCTCCATACCATTCCCTTTAATGGGTTTCATTGGTTTCAACTCAATCAATTATAGTGTTTTTGCTATTTGACAGGCTATACATTGCTTTTTACTTATGGTTGAGACGTGATTGGTCTTGGCCATCACGGCATTGCTACCTCTTAAGTAATAGTTCACTGACTAATAGGATTGATTCTGGGACTGCAGAGAATTATATGAAAGACTGAACATCTAAAAGGTATTAAGATTGGCTCACTGCCTACCTAAAACCTTCTTAGCACCGACAATAACACAATTATTGGTATTTATTGCACAGCACTCACCGCGACTCATATTTTCAAGCAGAACACTTCGCCGCTCCTGCTGACTAAAACTGTTAGCCAGTGTAAAGTTTTTGCCAATATGGAGAGAGCCTCGGACGGTGAGAGAACTATGGCAAGTGACAGTTGACAACCAAACCAGGCTAAAGTTTGCTCCCCGAAAGCTTTCAGCGAAATTGTAGTCTAATGAGAACTTTTTTTGATTCAAAAAAGTCGTTCTAGAAGTAAATTCCCGCCTGCCTTCCAGACGCGTGCCATAATAATATATTTTATTAGCTCGCTCGGTTGGGGAACCGGCGACAGGTTTTCCTTTACTAATTTCCCCGCAGTCATGCGCTTTACCGCTTAAAAATTTTATATAACAACCGGAAGGTATCAATTAATAACAGCTAATGTCATCCTTGATACTCAGAACTTGCTTGTAAATTCCTGCGGGTGTGGATGGAAGGAAGCTGTAGAAGGTGGTTGCGGTAGGCGATGTATATATTTTTCATTAAATAATTTTCTTATCAAATGAATTACTCCAAATTTAAGCTTCATTGAGTGTGTTTTCATCATAAGCCTGTCAAGAACTAAAAGAGATAAAAGTAGGGACTGCGCATGCTTGATTTATGAGATACATACGCATCACAAGTTTATTTCAGCATATTTTCACTCCCACATAAATAGAAAAGAATATTGGGGTTCACCTTCTTTTATAAAGTTATCTATTAGTAGGCAAGAAAAAACTTTACTTTATTTATTCTTCGGAACCACTTCATGTTTATTTATTCGGAATATGTTTGAACTTTTTGGGAGTCTGTGAAGAACTAATTAATGCTAACTTAAATGTTCCCCAACAACGCCACGCAGAAGGGCGACAGTTACGGGCAAAATTGCTGTTTTCCTTGGTCGGTGGGATTTCCGCTGCTTAGTATTGCACTCAGCATCTCGGAACTCGCGTTCCATGTTATATATATAGATATGTATGCGTATATCATAATACATAAATACTGAAACTTAAAAAAAGTCTAGCTCTTATAGGTAGACTGCCAGTTGGTTCTTCGTTGATTTAAATACTATAATAACTACTTCTTATATGTCAAAGACTTTGGCTTTCTTGTTACTTACTTTGTCGTAAAATATTAAGTTGCAACCCGTTGAGTATTCCAGTTTCAGCTAAATGAGTTATAGCAAAAATGAATAAGCTTACTTTAAATGTACTGTAAAACGCCATCTGCAAAATGAATTTAATAAATCCCTTGTCACGAAATAATGATATTAAACACCCGCTGTAGCCAGCACTAACCGTCTTATCTTGTGTCTCTTGTGCAAAAATGACAACTCAACCTCTCTTCATTTTACTTCAACCACAGATATTTTCATTTTGGACAGGCAAAAGCTCAATCTTGCCGCCTTAGAATGCGGTGCGGGTCGAGATGGTAGAGTAGCTAAATTTAAAACGGTTTCATGTTGCGATTTGACAAATGATAATATTTTGCCTGTGGTTGTGTCAGTCTTTGTGTTTTTACATATCAGCCGAGACTCTGGATGACTCCAGGACGACTCCTGGCATCCAGATAAGAGTATATCTGTGGGCCGGTGCCACTGTCTACATAGCGTTTGACGATCTGACACTTTTGGCCGACAGATTAAATTCGAAATTTCTAAAGTAACAGTGGATAACTGTAATATTCGATTATTTATTTTTGAAAGTTTAAACGCAAATAAAATGGTTAAAACTAGCTTAGAAAGCAAAATTAAATTACATTTTCCAAAAGTCTAAGAAACGCAACCTGATATCAATTCTATTGAGAATTTGTGCAGTGAATTGGACCGCCATGTGTACCGACACCGATAAGCCGATAAAACGGTCTTAAGAAGAGTAAGGAGTAGAAATCGTGAAAACACTTATCTCTGAAATTCTTAGAGCTATAATATTGGGAAGCATACATACGCAATACGATGACACCGCAGCTTATATTTTAATGCCCACAAAACGCTGAAACCTTAATTCGATAGGATTTAGGAAACAATTAGAGCTGGTATGATGCCACCTCAGCTCAAGTTAAATCAACCGTCTCATCCTTCTTGATGCCCACAAACCGCGGAAAACTGTGGCATCAGCACTATTTCAAGTAAATTTTTGGTTTAACCTTTATAAATTTTTTTGTCATCACCTATCGACTTACCAAAAATAACATAATCTATTGATTTTAAGCAAAATTATATATGTACCATCTTACTTTCAACAAATTCCGGTAACCATGGCTTTTGCCAAGACTGTTGCTAAAGCATATGCTATTGGAAAGTTTGCAGGAGTGTGGAATAACAAGTTTATCGTTCGGTCGTTTTTCAGAATGTCACATAACGAAAAAAAGCAAAGTGAAGAAGAGCTTACAACTATATTATCCGAAAAGGGACCAGAACTTCATTGGCCTAATTTCAAGGCATATATTTCCAATCCTACAGTTAATAGCGTGAGACTTGAATGGTCTTTGCTTAAAAATGCATTAGTCTACAGCGTAGAGAAGTTCCATAGAAGCCTTGGCTGGGTGCAGTTGGAGTGGAGCTCAAGTTCTCCCGTACATATTACCAATCTGGAAGAAAACTTTGGTTATCGATTGCGCGTAAAAGCCTTGTATGCTTCTATTGACGGTCATCGATATTTGGCTTTAGCAATCTCTCCGGATATAATTGTAATTAAATATTATTAAAGAAGTTCAGGATCATCAACTCTTTTGACCAACTGAATGAAATCAAAGAACTCTTATTGCCCTATTAACTGTCGAGTGACACAGTGTTAAGAGAAGTACAATTAAAAAGATAAAGTATTGGATCGGCACCCGATCTGTAAGGAAGCAGTTGGCATACATTAGTATTTGAGAATATCATTTGATAGAGAAGATTATTCATAAATAACGTATATAATGAAGGGCACAAAAGACTACCCTGCGGAACTTCAGATATATCGTATAACGTTTTGAAGAAATAGTTTTTGAACATAATCTTCTTAATAAATTGTTTGCTTCCCGAGCTTATCTCATATAAATATAGGAAAAGGATGGTTCATTATTTGTAGAGTTTAAACAGCTTATACAAATTTTACCATATTATTATATCCGTTTGACAAAAAATGTATGAATATTTAAGGCCTGCACGACGTCAGAACTCCCGTCAACCAATTGCTTAAACTACGCCATTAAAAAGGGACAGCAGTTTCTTGTTAAGCGTATGCTGCGGAGACGACCTAGTTTGACAGAATACCCCGCTCCTAACGGATTTCTGCCACTTGCCAATGCGATTATTCAGGGTGAAATGTGTATTATCGACGTGCTGCTCTCGGCCGGCTGCAGCGTTCATCTCGGAAATCTTGGAACCGGACGGACCCCGCTGCATGTCGGTAATCAATCGAAATATAATTGACGTGTTTATTTATAATATAAAAGACGTGTTTGACATCGTTGCAGCTAGCTTTTTATTACGGTCACTTGCCATCCGCGAAAATTTTGTTAAACAAGAAGGCCCAACTGGAGGCTACGGACGCCAATGGTATGACTCCCGCACACTGCGCAATCGATGCCGATCAGCTGGAAATGGTAAAGTTCGCTCTCGAGGCGGGTGCGAATGTTGAAGCCAGGGATATCTGCGGTTGGACCCTTCTTATGCGTGCAGGTTTGGCTAAAGATATTAATGGGCGTTCTACACAAATCGAATTTTAATTGACTTTTTGGTAGCAGTCGTTATGAACGCAAGCATAAAGCTTATCAAAGTGCTTGTTACACATGGTGCAGACCTGGCCGCTTTGGATGATTTTGGCAAAACCTGCTCTGAATTAGCGAAACTTTATCGTAGGCACGAGGCAAAGGATTACTTTGACAATGTTGAAAAATGTAGGCTGGAAAAGTACAATAAATATAAAACCCCATAAACAAGTTTTAAGTATAGTAGCATAAATGTAAAAAAACTATAATAGTCACTTTAATAAATTGTGATTTTCAAAAAAATTATTAACGACAAAATGTTTGGCTTGGATACAGGGAGTGTGTTCTTCACTATTTTGGGGGAGCAAAGCTCCTTTTAGGAAAAGATTCGTAAAAACGAATTTAATTACAATAATTTTGTTATTTTTTGAACATTTTCAGGCCTATAAATTGTATTATAATATTTAATTACACCATTACACCAGTCCCTAGGCGCAAAACACCAGTGACGAAGAGATATTAAGTGACTATATGGCGAAGGAACGATGACAAAAGATGCGTCATTAATGCGTTATTAAGTAATTAAGTAATTAAGTAATTAAGTAATTAAGTACTTAAGTAATTAAGTAATTAAGTAATTAAGTAATTAAGTAATTAAGTAATTAAGTAATTAAGTAATTAAGTAATTAAGTAATTAAGTAATTAAGTAATTAAGTAATTAAGTAATTAAGTAATTAAGTAATTAAGTAATTAAGTAATTAAGTAATTAAGTAATTAAGTAATTAAGTAATTAAGTAATTAAGTAATTAAGTAATTAAGTAATTAAGTAATTAAGTAATTAAGTAATTAAGTAATTAAGTAATTAAGTAATTAAGTAATTAAGTAATTAAGTAATTAAGTAATTAAGTAATTAAGTAATTAAGTAATTAAGTAATTAAGTAATTAAGTAATTAAGTAATTAAGTAATTAAGTAATTAAGTAATTAAGTAATTAAGTAATTAAGTAATTAAGTAATTAAGTAATTAAGTAATTAAATAATTAAGTAATTAAGTAATTAAGTAATTAAGTAATTAAGTAATTAAGTAATTAAGTAATTAAGTAATTAAGTAATTAAGTAATTAAGTAATTAAGTAATTAAGTAATTAAGTAATTAAGTAATTAAGTAATTAAATAATTAAGTAATTAAGTAATTAAGTAATTAAGTAATTAAGTAATTAAGTAATTAAGTAATTAAGTAATTAAGTAATTAAGTAATTAAGTAATTAAGTAATTAAGTAATTAAGTAATTAAGTAATTAAGTAATTAAGTAATTAAGTAATTAAGTAATTAAGTAATTAAGTAATTAAGTAATTAAGTAATTAAGTAATTAAGTAATTAAGTAATTAAGTAATTAAGTAATTAAGTAATTAAGTAATTAAGTAATTAAGTAATTAAGTAATTAAGTAATTAAAGTAATTAAGTAATTAAGTAATTAAGTAATTAAGTAATTAAGTAATTAAGTAATTAAGTAATTAAGTAATTAAGTAATTAAGTAATTAAGTAATTAAGTAATTAAGTAATTAAGTAATTAAGTAATTAAGTAATTAAGTAATTAAGTAATTAAGTAATTAAGTAATTAAGTAATTAAGTAATTAAGTAATTAAGTAATTAAGTAATTAAGTAATTAAGTAATTAAGTAATTAAGTAATTAAGTAATTAAGTAATTAAGTAATTAAGTAATTAAGTAATTAAGTAATTAAGTAATTAAGTAATTAAGTAATTAAGTAATTAAGTAATTAAGTAATTAAGTAATTAAGTAATTAAGTAATTAAGTAATTAAGTAATTAAGTAATTAAGTAATTAAGTAATTAAGTAATTAAGTAATTAAGTAATTAAATAATTAAGTAATTAAGTAATTAAGTAATTAAGTAATTAAGTAATTAAGTAATTAAGTAATTAAGTAAGTAATTAAGTAATTAAGTAATTAAGTAATTAAGTAATTAAGCAATTAAGTAATATAAAATAAACATACATAAGTGAAATTAAATAAAACCCCACATATACATATATACATACTTACAAGTATGTACATAGATCTTTTTGCATTTCTCAATTGCAGCATTTATTTAAATTGAGTGACTGCCTAGCTTCTTATCGGGGATCCAACCATCGGGTTGCTCAGGTGTGAGTAGGTCCACGATAGTTGGATATGTCGGCAAACAGTGTTCAAGCCGGTCGGAAAATGAACCAAGAGCTTATCCATTAGCTCAGCAGCAATGCATAATCTAGTGCAGCAAAGAGCGGACCGCAGACTCGAGAAAGATCAGCAGAGGGTGGCTTGAAATCAGTATAACCAACCACCGCCGTCCAAACTACCGCGTATTACCTATTAGGCCAGAGAGGAGCAGCAGATGCCGATATCGGAGACGCCCTGGGAAGGGGAACTGGTTCCGGAGTAGCTCTGGTTCATTAGTGGCTCAAGACAGATTTAAAACTCGCAAATCGCTCTCTCTCGAGAAGCTAATTGAGTCCACTACAAGTCCACTAGAGGGAATATCAAAACAATTTGAAAGCTGAGAAGAAGTAGAAGTGATCCAGCCCAACATTTTTCCCAACCTCAAGCGCCAAAAGTATATTCTGGAAGTCTGGGAGGAAAAGGAAAATAACAGTACCGCAGTATCGCAGCCCATACTGGGTGGCGCCAGGTTTTTTATTTTTAAGATTAAATTTAAAAGTTATTAAGACTCCTATTGCTTAAACTCCACTATATATATATACCCTCTTATAAAATAATCTACCTAATGTAAGCCTTCATATTCTTCTTCCTTTATTCTTGTAATTATTTATCTATGTTTAATGTATTCGTCCCAGGTTAGGAAATTAGGAACCAAGGAATTGTGAATTAAAGTGATAAAAAAATAAAAAAAGTGAGAAGATTTTTCAAATTGGGTGAGGTGACGAGGTACACCCCCAATATCCAGTACTAGGGGAGTTGCCCAAAAAGAAGTTCCAGCAGCTCAAGGATGGGATATTCCGCGGCCATCAACTACAGGTCGGTAGTCCTTGTTTCAGTCTCTCAATATTACCATCAGGTCTGAAGAAAAAAACCAGAGAAAACGAGTGCTGCTACTTACTATAAGATACCCGTTACTGATTACACAATTTTAGAATATTAATTTTGCTAGTGGAAATTTACAATGCGCCACCTATCGTCAGACATAGCTTGTCGAGTATCTGACAGTGACGTCACTGCCCATGTGACGCCTTATAAACTGAATTTCTTCATAAATAGCGAAATAATGTTCGGATTTGAAAAATCTTTGGTAAATCGATAGATATTGACAACAATATGTTATGCAAGGTCAAAGGAAGACATACACTATAATATTATGGACTCCACAGTGTTTCGCGGTTTGTGGGCTTGGCAGCTCACGTCGAGCTGCAGTGGCATTTCTAAAATACATATTCCTAACTTTTAAGCTTTTATAGTTGTGGGCTTTACAGTGGGCGTGGCTAGATCGGAAAACAACAATTCGCATTTGGGGCATCATAAAAACCTATATGCTTAATCCTAACTTTCTACCACTTACAGTTACCGAGATATAAGCTTTTTTATTTCGGTGGGCGTAAAAGGACGCATCTCAATAATAAATTTTAACTTTCTAGGTCTTTAACTTTCTAGCTCTAATCCTGCGATTTCAGCAATTTTAGTTTTTCATGATTTGTGGTCGTTAGACTGCGCGTGGCAAGATTCTGAAATCTTCTTCGCTGCAGAATCTTCATGCTTAATCTAAACTTTCCATCTCTTCTAGTTCCTGAGATCTGAGCGTTCATACGGACGGACGGACAGACGGACATACGGACGGATAGACGGACATCGCTTGATCGACTTCGCTATTGATACTGATCAAGAATATATAATATATACTTTATAGGGTCGGAAACGCTTCCTTCTACCTGTTACATACTTACTACGAATTTTATATACAGTCGGCACATAATTTATTCGTACATCCATGAGTTGGAAGTTTATTCCTTAATATCTCGAGAAATACGTAACGGAAATTAAAATGTAATATGTGAAATGACAGATATACATTTCGAGCATATATTTTAAACATAAAATTAACAAGTTTTAACTTAAAGATTAGCTAATTGCCTTAATAACACAAAAAAGTCATTTTTTACGCACAAAAATTATTTGTATCCTTTTACTCTACGAATAACGGGTATAAAAGTTTCACAATTTATATAAAATCTTATTTAAATAACATAAAAAAACCTTTAATACCTAAAAAAATTTTCAAATATAATTGTTTAAAAACGGGCCGACAGCTTAATTTTTAAAGAGTTGCCACATAATGCCTCAGCTGTTAAGGGCTAGAGCTGCCAAATATAAATTATCAGAGCTTTACTCAATTTTAAATTTTCTTAATTTTCAATTTCGACGAACTTTTCTCGCTTATGATTTCTACACACGCCCGGAGCCCCCTTGAACAGGTACAAAAAATTTCATTAAAATCGGTCCAGCCGTTTACGAGTCTATAGCGGACATATATGGTTACATTCAGTTTTATATATATAGATAGAAATAGAAAACGAACTTCGAAAGATTGCAAAGATCTCACTGAACATTAAAAAGCAATGTAAGCTGTTGCCGTCTAGTTGTACTTAAACGTACTTGTATTTTAAGATAAGAAATGTGCACAAATATTATGAATAAATTTGATGCCAGTCGATTTTAGTGACATTCTCGTGCGCTCATTTTATAGGCATTTAGTATAACAATAAGATTTCAGTTTTACCTTAAAGTTTTTTTAATAAAATTTTAAAAGTCATCCTATCAATTTACTTATTGTCCGTTATCCTTATAAAGTATATAATTCTTGATCAGGATCAAAAGCCAAGCCTGTCAGTTTGTCTGACTGTTCGGATAAAACATGTAGATTCTTCAGATGCATACAAAGCGCAATTTTATTCAGCATCCCTTCACGGGATGCTAATCTAAACTAAACTAAAATCGTTGAGATTTCTGACACTAGTAGAAAATTGGGATTAAGCAAAATAGTAATATACTATTGAAATGGCAGCCGATCCTAAGGTAGTATCATTATCCGGTCACGCCCACTCTTACGCCTACCAAGCTCGAAAATTTCCTGCTTTTTGTAGAAACGCTGAGATCTCGGAATCTTTGCTTTTTGAACTATAGATAGTTTGGACTTTGGCATTTGGAATGTCATTGTCAATGTGTCAGA